CCAGGCCGTGAGACAGCTCAGTGCCCTGACTCGAAATGAACCCCTGTCACACACACTGCACTGCCTTGTCTTAACCATTTTCCCTCTCTGTATCTTTTGTCATCCTTGCCCCTTCATTCTCTGCGATAATTTTTCTTTCTTCTGTATTATTAACATTTAATACCCAGGGGATTAAGAACCATCTCCAACTTGTTCAAAAATGGAGAACTCAATGGCGCAACTTTAACAAGCTAGCAACAAACCTCAATGTGCTTATTAAAAAATTGGTCTGTAATGAAGGAGGCACCACAAATTCCCGAGGAAAGGAAGAATTTTAGCACTAGGATAATTGGTTAATTATTCTGAGGGGTAATAAAGTTATAACCTAATTTACCAATGTTCATCAGAACAAATTACAGATGGACTAAGTAATCTGATACCCCAAACTGAAACAAGTAGAAAAACAGGTGAACAACTAATCTCCATGTGGGAAATGCCTTTCTAAGGTTAAAAATAATTTTTTAAAAATCACAAAGGAAGTGTTAAACCTTTGGCACCACCCCATCACATATGAATTTATCCTCAGGCAAAAAGTCAGAGATACTTGCCAAGATGGATGTATAAAAATGTTCATTTCAGTGTTAACTATGTATCAGGAAAGAGGAAAAGAAACTGGCGTTTACTCTCGACAAGGAGAGTGTGCCTCTCCTCTCCCCTATCAGAGACTGTTAGGGAGGTTGACCTAGTTATTTGTAAGAGAAAAATCTGAACTCAAAGAATCTGCATATTCTTTGCACTGCTAAAGGTAAAAGTCAGGAGTGGGCGACATTTGTTTAGGCAAACTCCTCAATGACTTCACTGATGATGAAAGGTTAGATTAGGTTAGTTCTGTCTAGAGGGAGGTGAGTAATGGATAGAGAGTTTAGATGCTCCAACAGATAACATGCTAAGACCTACAATTTTCCCCTGAGGACAAGGAAGAAAGGGAGGTAAAGTCCTGGATGAGTAGAAGAGGTAAGAAAACTTGCAGGCTGTAGATCGGCCACACTCCATTTTGTCCATTTAAATTATAAATGTATAAAGTACACACATATATAAAATATAATTTAAACATATATTCATTTAAATTACATGGTGTACAGATAGAATAGGTAGTACAATTGTGTGCTTCCAAATTAGAACTGTTCAAAATGCATCTCTAATACCCAGTCCTGCACCCATCCACCCACTTCCCCTCCACAGAGTCAGTAGTTACTGGTTTCTCGTCCATCTTTCAAGAGATGGTGGATCTACTCTTTTATATATGAGAGACATATATTCTTGCCCCTCTTTTTTTCTTTCCACAGATGGTAGTCTACTACACTCAGTGTTATGCACCTTGTTTTTTCTCCTTAATCATTAGTCTTGTAGATATTTTCATATCAATGCACAAAGAGCAAATTCATTTCTAATTTAATCAGTCTCCTGTTGATGGACATTTGAGCTGTTACCAATTTTTAAAAATTACAAACAAGGCTGTAATGAATACTTTTGTGCTTACGTCGTTTTGCAAATGTAAGAATATATCCACTGGATAAATTTTTAGAAGTAGAATTTCAGGGTCAATGGGGATGTGCATTTATTATTTTGATAGATATTGACGGATCACTCTCCCATCAGCAATGTGAAGGTGCCTGCTTTCTAACACCCTTATAAGCATCATGTCTAACATTCACTTAAAATTTTTATTGAAATATAGTTGATTTACAATGTTGTGTTTCAGGTGCACAGCAAAGTGATTCAGTTATACATACATACGCACACATATATTCTTTTTTAGGTTCTTTTCCATTATAGGTTATTACAAGATACCAAGTATAGTTCCCTGTGCTATACAGTAGGTCCTTGTTGGTTATGTATTTTATATATAGTAGTGTGTATATTTTAACCCCAAACTCCTAATTTATCCCTCCCCGACTTCCCCCTTTGGTAACCAGAAGTTTGTTTTCTATGTCTGTGAGTCTGTTTCTAACACTTTTCAGTTGTTCCCTTTCTGGGCTGTAACCTCCCTCTGTTATTGCTACAACTTCAGTAAAACCTGTTTCACACAGTAACGTGGGCTTTGGGGAAGGAAGAAGAAGAAAGCACTGTCAGGTACAGGAGGGGAGTCAGGGCCAGAGGTGGACAGGATGTGATGGAGATAAGACGGTCGGAAGGGACCAACCATTAAGAAATTTTTTGCAAGAAGTGACCAAAAAATACATTTTCACTGGAAATCTAGTTCATCCAGGAGTTGCCACAGTATGTGCAGTGGATGTTAGAGTGATTAATTTTGTTATTAAAGGAAAAAGACATCCTAGGAGGCCAGACATTTTACAGGCAATGGGTTAGTATTATAAGGTTGAAAATCCCCTGTCCAAGAGGGAGGTGGTGTTTGGCTTTTCAGGAATAAGTTGGTGCTGGTAGGATGATCATGCTCTCTCCCAGGCCTTCCAGAGTGATGGGGCACAGCAGTCCTGAGGCTCCAGGACTCCAGCTTCTGTCTCCAGGAGAATCTGTTCCTTGAAGGGAGGGCTGGAAACCCCATGACACCTTGGCAAGCCTCTGTGTCCAGTTCTCTGGGGAAATGACAACCTAGAAGAACATCATAGAAACCATCTCCTGCCCTCTCGGTTTATACCCCTGGTTAGTGGATTCCTCCCCACCCTCCATTCTGTTTCATTCATTTCTGTTTTTTTTGGTGTGTTTTTTTTTTTTTGGTACGCGGGCCTCCCACTGCTGTGGCCTCTCCCGTTACGGAGCACAGGCTCCGGACGTGGAGGCTCAGCGGCCATGGCTCACGGGCCCAGCCGCTCCGCTGCATGTGGGATCTTCCCGGACCGGGGCATGAACCCGCGTCCCCTGCGTCGGCAGGCGGACTCTCAACCACTGCGCCACCAGGTAAGCCCTCATTTCTGTTTTTGTCTTTACTAATGCTTTCCTTCTATTTCCATGGGGATCATTTTGTTGTTATTTTTCTAAGCTCACTGTCCTTGAGCTAAACTTAACAACAAAGAATTGGCAAATCCACAACCATAACGAGTAACTTCTAAAAATGGTTCTCAGGAACTGGCAGAGCAAGCAGGACAAAGCAACGTAAAAAGAGGATTTGGAAGATTTGAACATGTCAGTTAATAAGCTTGAAGATATGCATATAAAATTTTGAACCCAACAAATAAAAACAAATCTTCTTTTCAAACTCCTGTGGAACATTTAAAAATAGTAACCACCGATTAGACCACAAAGGAAATTTCAAAAAATCCCCCAAAGCCAAATAACATACAGGCCAACTGCAACAACAGCAAAATTTGTTAATTAAAACCAAACAAAACCGTAACTCTTAAATATCTCTTAAAGAAAAAAGATAACACAAACTATGGATGCTTTACCTTTTCACGTCTATAAGGCTATTAATTATAATTTTGAAGTTTTAGTCTGCTCTCTGCATTGTTTTTGTTTCCTCTGAGTTACTTTATTCGTTTGCTTATTTTAATCTTTGTCTTTAGAGTCTTTTCTTGTATATCATGATATTTCTGGCTATGTGTTCACATGCAAGGGTAAGGCACTAAAAGGCTCATTCAGTGTTTATTGCACATTTTGAGGGTTTATTGATGAATAAGCTTCACTTTGTGTCAAGGCGCTGAAATAGCTCTTGTGAGGACAGTTATAGCCTTTTACAAGTGTCCTGGTTTGGCTTCCTTCTGAGTAGAAGTGGAGCATCTTTCTCAGGTTCCCCAGTTGTCATAAGAATATGTGAACTTCTTTTTTTTTTTTTTTTGTGGTACGCGAGCCTCTCACTGTTGTGGCCTCTCCCGTTGTGGAGCACAGGCTCCGGACGCGCAGGCTCAGCAGCCATGGCTCACGGGCCCAGCCGCTCCGCGGCATGTGGGATCTTCCCCGACTGGGGCACGAACCCGTGTCCCCTGCATCGGCAGGCGGACTCTCAACCACTGCGCCACCAGGGAAGCCCAGAATATGTGAATTTCTTCAACACAGGTGCTGCATATTTAACTGGCTTTAAGGAAAAACTACACTCCAGGTATTTTTCATGGTAGATAAACCTGGATTTAAAGCTCTTCTATCATTAAAAGTTGTGACCTAAGTGTAGCAGTGTCAATGGAAGCTTCTCTGCTGAGCCTCTACTCTGAAAGCTTCCCCAGACTAAACAGACCAAGAGGGCTGAGTGCCCTGAAGCATACCCATCCCTGAAGAGGCCAGCGGCATTGAATGGGGTAAAGCTATCTGCTTATGTGGAGCGAACATGAAGAGGAATCCGCCTATGAACTCATAGTGTTTACAACAATGCAGCTTTTCACAGCGCATGTTATAGACCTCGAGGATGCATTTATTTCAGGAATAAATTTTTCCTGACTAAACGGTTTGTTTTTACTTTGTAGCCAGTGAAGATTTAAGATTTTCTAATAGCAGCTAGAATACACAAAGCCCATTTCAGGGCCCATTCTGCACACTTACCATCATTCTGGGCCTTCAAAATATGTATTTTTTTGTTGTTGTATCTTCTATCCAGGATCCAGGTGAATTTTCTTAATTTGTTTGCCCTTTCCCTAATTTTTTTTTGCCTAACTTTACATGTATTATTATTTTGCATGCTTCTTCAAATGAAGAAAGATAACCAATAAGTGATTTTTTCTCCTCTGCAATGTCTAACATAGTGCTTTGTTCAAAGGAACTTTGTATGTGACTGAATGAAGAGATTCTTTATGATAATCTAGACAGTAGGAAGAGGAAGCAGAAGGTATTTCTGAGAGGAAGAGGTTGCATGTAATTCAGCATTTGGTATCCTTCATGTCAGATTCATTCTTACCAACTATAATGAGAAGGAAAATCTAAAATTAAGGTGAAGGCAAAGGTCACCCTGAAAGTGACCAGGAATTGAAGCAATTAAGAACATGGTGTTTCAGCTCTGCCCTGTTCAAGAACCTAAACAGCACTCAGCTGTTTTTTATTTTTTGAAATTGAACTAATGCCTGTTGAGGTCCTACCTTTGGTCCAGTGGTTGTCACTGAGCGGGGTGAGTTTTTCCTTCAAGTGCTCTCTAGCTTGTGTTTGTGATATTGTCTTAAAATTATCTATAGCAGTTCTTAAACTTTTCTGGGTCATTGGTACCTTTGAGAATCTGATCAAACCATAGACTCTCCACCCAGAAAAATGCACATGCACACAACATTTTAACTGCCTTGGCAGGTTTATGTATTCCCTGGAGGCATCCAAAGAACTTAGGCTAAGAAGCACCAGGATTTGGTATTGTTTCTGACATGAACGCGTAGGCTGTCAAAACTCGGAATAAACTAGCTGATATTTCATTGTATGTCTTGATTAATTAGGAAGTGATAGATGAGGAATTTTTTTCTACATCAATTCTCTTAAATACAAAAAACTGACAATAATGGCTAATGTAAGACTCCTGAGAAGGCAAGAAGGGTTAGAAGTCAAAGAACAGGAGATGTGGTTAACTTGAGATCAGAGAGAGGCACGGTTCCTACACGTAAAGGTTTGCAAAGCGTGGTCCCTTATCGGCAATATCCACATCACCTGGAACCTTGATAGAAATGCGAAATTAGGGGCCTCGTCCTGATTTACAGAATCAGAAGTTCTGTGGGTGCGTGGGCTTGTTTTAACCAGCGCTCCAGATGATTCTGATGCCAAAGTTGATAATCTCTGCGCTAACTCGCATGGAAGAGAGGAAGGAGCTGGTGTTAACGTTTCTGGTGGTTGGAATTTGAGAACGTGGAGCTTTGAAAGTCATGAGCAACCAACTGGAGATCAGGGATCTGGTCTGTTTTCTCATGTACAAGAAAGAAGGTAATTCATAGCCTTCTTTTTTCTAAAGGGTCAGGAAGCTATTCGAGGAACCATTCGTTATCCGGATTATGTCGTCACGTCCACCTGAACTCTGGAGGGCGTCAGAAAGAAAAAGGATGGAAGGAAACGGAGGACACTGGGTGCAGGAAGAAATGACGAGGGCCCAGGACTCCACTGCCACAAACTATGCAACTACCGCCGAGGTAGTTCTCCTCCACCCGCCCAAGCCCCCAGTCCCCACACACAGTTCTGATGGACACTCTCCAACACTGCCGCCCACTTCCGGGCCCCAGCCAATAGCTACTCAAAGTGCTCAGCCAGTCAGCGCCCCTGTGCTCCTTCCGGCGTTCGGCGTGCTGCCCTGGAAACGGGATGGGCTAATCCAAACGCGGAGGGGTGCAGAACTCGCAAGGCCGGTCGCCGACGCTCTGAGCCCTGCACTTTTTACCCCGACCTAGGGTAGATCGGTGGACTCGTCCTAACGCTGGGCGCGAGGCGGCTTCACTTCCAGGCCCCAGCCAATGGGAAGCGAAACTGCTCAGCCAATCAGCGCCCTGCGCTCCTTCCGGCGTTCTGCGTGCTGCCCTGGAGACGGGCAGGCCGAATGCAAACACAGAGGGGTGCTAGACCTGCACGGCCTCACGCTGTCGGCCTTGCTCCATTGCTTCGCCCCTGGCTTTTGGCCAGTGGACTCGTCCTAAGGGGTCGGGGGCGAGACGCGCGCACTGGCGGCCGGCCTCCAGTGGACCTGCGGCTTTTCCCCACCGAGCTAGAAGGTGAGCGGTAGTGCCGTTTTTAAGGTGGGTTCCTGTGTCTTTCAGCGTTTGTTGGAGAGACTGTAGGCCTGCAGGGGAGCCAACCACCACCCTCCCTCCCTCCGTGGACCCTGTGCCCTCGGCGCCCCCTCTCTCTTCGTGTTCTGCTTTGTGTTTGTGTTAAACCCTGCACAACTTTTGGTTCAGGGTACGCGGGACACCTATTCTAGACCTGGGTTCGGGAGATGCGCTTTATAGACGCCCCGTATTCGGAGTTTTATCCCTTAAAACGCTGACTTAGCTTTCCGGGTTCTAAGCCGGCCTCGCTGACTGATGTCGGTGGACGTGGGGAGGCAGTGAAAGCCGCCAGTTCGCCGGCAGCGATCTACTTGGGGTGGGGAGGAGAGGGTGTTTACGTAGCGACTTAGAGCCTACACTTCCGACGTCAGACCAGGCTCAAAGCTTGCAGTTGATTTGGTTCGAAAAGTGTTGCGAGGAGGAGCACTTGTTTAGTGCTTAGCATAGTGCCCGCCGCCTTTTGTGCTCTCGGGAAAGGTTGACTTCGCCTGCGGTTTTCAAAGGTAGCGCGCATCCGGACGGCGAGCTAAAACGCAAAATTGCTGGACCCTGTTTCCAGAGTTTCCGATTCAGTAGATCTGGGCCCAGGGCGAGAATTTGCATTTCTTTCGAGTTTCCTGGTGTTGCTGATTGCCGCTAGAGAGGGAGTTAATGATTTGAAGGTGGGGATGATTAAGAGGAGGGTTCACTCATGTCTTTACCAGCGTGCTGTTACCACCTGAACCGTTTCAGAGTTTATTGAATGTAGGCTCTGTCCGCTGAATCTTAAATGCTTCAGTTGCTCGTATGTGTGAATTCCTCTGACTTCTGGCTTCTCAGATGATACCTAGGTGAACTTGTAGATTAAAAGAGACTTAAAAATGCACCATGCTTTTAGAAAATGTGGAAGACTAAACTGTGGTATATGGGAATGCACACTACAGTGAGAAAACTATAAAGAAACGCATCAAAGTCCGGAGAGTGATTACTTTTGGGGAGTAGGAGTTGTTATTGTCCTAGGCTCAGGGAAGGGATTCTGGGGTCGCTGGTAAAGTGCTATTCCTGACCTGAGTGATGATTACAAGGATGTCTCTCTTATAATAGTACATTAAAGTATACATTTATTTTGTGGGTTTTTCTGTATTTGTGTTTTATTTTACAAGTTGAGGTTACAAATGTTAAAAAAAATGCATATTAGGAAGTCTAAGGTGAGGAACATCCCTGGAGTGAGTCAAAAAGAATCTTAGTCATGGGCTTTCAAATTTGGAAGATAACTTAAACTTAGAAGACCATCTGATCCAATTCTTATTTTAGCCTAAGGAAGTTGAGCTCACAGAATCGGGAAGTGCTGCAGGTAATAAACCCTTGTCTAAACCCAGTTTGTAATTGATGTGTTTTGTTAATTTCAGCTGCCTGCTCTGCTCAGATGCCTCTATTCAGTGAAAGATTGAGGACGTGAATTTGGCCTGACTCAAATTCAAAATTTTAAGGTTTTATTTTCTTGTGGCCTAAAACCTTGTTTTCAAGAAATCACTCATCTTACATAAAAACTTATTTCAACATCTTATTCTGATGTATCCTAATGTACCAATTCGTGAACATTTAATTAAGGTCTCTGGTTATTTTTTTTGCCACATAATTACTCCTGTTAAGGCTGCATTTTAGTGGGTTAGGACTCGGCACTGGTTCTGTTTACCTGAACCAAAAGACTGGCACACATTTCTCCAGGAAAGATGGGTTTATTTGGCATCAGCAGGGAATCCCAATTCGGGGTGTGTAACCATGACAAGCCACCGTGCAATTCCCCAGCATGGCAGGGAAGGCGAAAGCTTTTTTTAGAGAGGAAAAGGAAGTTGGGAGGGCTGTAATAAACAAAGAATCCATGGCTTTTCATTGAGTTGAGTCCTTGCCAGCCAAGAGGAATCTTTCTTCTTCTCCTTGGGCTCTGCTATCTTTGCAGGGCATGAGAGCTCCCCGCTTCTGGTCTTCTGACTCTAATTGAGGTTTCTGTTTATTAGTTTTTTACACTTCTCCATTTTGATCAAGATTTTTCTCTGAAAGCATTGCTGATCAAGAGTCAGGTTTTCTAGTTTCAGGGGCTTTTTGTCCCTCAATGTCGGGAAGTATCTTTCCTGGGTGTAGTGTCTCAAGTCGGAGGGAAAGTGCACAGATGGGAAACCTATTAAGGTCACAAGTAACAAGGAAAGGTAGGAGGGAGAACTCTCAGGCACTTTTAATCTAAAATGCATATGTTGTCAAGATGATAGACATTGGCGATCCTCTGAAGTCTTAGGCCATCATCAAAGGTTTGGCTTCTGTCTGGTTAGGCCATTCAAAATGGCTGTTCTCTGCTCTCTGTACACGCCCAGCTTGACCAGTCCCTGCCTCACTCACGTGACTATCCAATCATCTTAATTATAGAGGTTAATTAGTCCCTGGTAACTGATGAGCCCATCTGATGTCAATTCCCGCCCCCGTAAATGGTAGCCTCCTCCTCCCTTGAGTAGTGAAGAGTGCTGCCGTGTCCTGTCCTGCCTGCTGTCTGCCATACACGGTGGGGTGTCACTCCAGGACCTTGCTTCAGGCATGTAAGATCCTCTGTCCAGTAAGCCATTTATGTCTCTGTCACTGAGTCTGGGCTCTTCGAGGCTTGGCAGCTACAAGGCTTGCAGGCCTGAGGGGTGCAGCCTAACAGTGGCAAACTTCCAGCAGGTCTGATCTGGATGTCTTGGGAAAGCTGTCTCATCAGATACTGTCTGCTTCAATTCCGGGAAATCTTTACTTTCAGGTCACCAGAGGATGTGCAGGTCCAGTCAGAGTGCGGTGCTTCCTTTAGATGTATTGTGAATCCAAGAGTTGTATTCCTTGGAGTTTGGTGGCACAAGCGTTGGTTACTAGTACTTGATAGGGGCCTTTCCAGTGATGCTGAAGACAGTTCTTCTGGAAGTGTCTTTTCCAGTAAATGAAATCTCCAGTTTGCAAGGTGTGATGCTTAAGGTCTTCGTCTCCTGAGGGTGCATGGTAAAAAGACTGCCCTACCGGGCTTCCTTGGTGGCGCAGTGGTTAAGAATCTGCCTGCCAATGCAGGGGACACGGGTTCCAGCCCTGATCTGGGAAGATCCCACATGCCACGGAGCAACTAAGTCTGTGCACCACAACTACTGAAGCCCGTGTGCTTAGAGCCCGTGCTCTGCAACAAGAGAAACCACTGCAACGAGAAGCCGGCACACTGCAACGAAGAGTAGCCCGTTTGCTGCAGCTAGGAGAAGCCGGCACACTGCAACGAAGAGTAGCCCGTTTGCTGCAGCTAGATGAAGCCCGCACACAGCAACAAAGATCCAGCACAGACAAAAATAAATAAAATAAGTAAATTAAAAAAGACCGCCCTACCAAAACATGTTTTTTTTTTTTTTTTGCGGTACGCGGGCCTCTCTCACTGTTGTGGCCTCTCCCGTTGCGGAGCACAGGCTCCGGACGTGGAGGCTCAGCGGTCATGGCTCACGGGCCCAGCCGCTCCACGGCATGTGGGATCTTCCCGGACCGGGGCACGAACCCGTGTTCCCTGCATTGGCAGGCGGACTCTCAACCACTGCGCCACCAGGGAAGCCCATCATGGTTATTTTTAATAGAGACGATTAGACCTTTCAATGTTGGAGTATCTCTCCTTTTATTAATTGTGGGTAGTAAGAAGCAGGGGACAAGTGCTTTGGGTGTCCTGTGATGATCTCAAAGGTTGAGAGTTTCTGAATTCCAAAAGGGGTGGATCTGAGATTTAGGAGAACCAACAGCAATGCTTTTGGCTAAGGTGTTTGGAGGGCCTTTACACATTTTGCCAATTGAGTCTTCATAATGCTGTTAGTATGTTCAACTAAACCAGAGGATTGAAGATGGTAAGTAAAGTGTAAGTGTTGTAAAACCAGATGAACAGCGCACACTTGTTGAGGCACCTGACCTGTGAAATGGGTTACTTGATTACTATGAAGTTTGAGAGGAGTTTCCCAAGTAGCAATACTCTTTTCCAAAAGGACTTTAGCCACGTTAAGAGGCAGTAGGCTGTCTGCAAGGGAAGTCCAGTGAAAACGTACAGACCGTGACTAAATCATACTTTATTCACTAGATGAAGTTTTATGAAATCCATTTGCCAGACCTCAAATGGTCCATCATGCAGATGAAAATGTCCCGGGGCAGTACGCACAGGCCTACATGGGTTTTATTTTGACAAGTGAGGTAGGCACCTTTTGTGGCCTTCTTAATGTTTCCCCAGCAGTATTGATTCATGAAGGCTATCATTTTGTCAGTAGACTGATGCTTTAATGCATGTACAGGGGTGAGGAGTGGGGATCTTGGTCTCCCATAGGACTGTTGTTACTTAGTTCAAACCAGAGCTTTCTCTTCTATCAAACCAACAGTTGCTGAATTTCTAATTTTTTTTTTAAGTCAGCAGGCAGCTTTCTTTTATTTATTTATTTTTGGCTGCATTGGGTCCTCGTTGCTGCGTGTGGCCTTTCTTTAGTTGCCGTGAGTGGGGGCTACTCTTCGTTGCGGTGTGCGGGCTTCTCATTGCGGTGGTTTCTCTTGTTGTGGAGCACGGGCTCTAGGCGCGTGGGCTTCAGTAGTTGTGGCACATGGGCTCAGTAGTTGTGGCGCGCAGGCTGTAGAATGCACGCTCAGTAGTTGTGGCGCACGGGCTTAGTTGCTCCGTGGCATGTGGGATCTTCCCGGACCAGGGCTCGAACCCGTGTCCCCTGCATTGGCAGGTGGATTCTTAACGACTGCGCCACCAGGGAACATCCTGAATTTCTAATCTTGTTTTTCCTTTTCTGAGGCCAACTGTTGGGCCTTTCTAGCCAGTTTTTCTAAATTATCATTTGGAGAAATATCTCTGGACCGTGACAGAGGTTTGGCTGCCGTTGGTCCCTTTAAGGGCAGCATTCCTTGCAGAAATAGCAGCAAGGTGATTTCCTTTTGCTTCCAGAGAGTCAAGCTTAGAATGCTGTGGAATCTTAATAATAGCTAAAGCGGCAGGTTAAAGTATTGCATTCAATAATTCCCGAGCATAGGGGCCACTTAAAATTTTATTTCCACTGGAAGTAAAGAAGCCACATTGCTTCCCCAACATTCCAAAATCATGAGCTACTCTAAAAGCATATGTACTGTCATTGTAAATATTGACACTTTTGTCCTTGGCTAAACTACAAGCCCCTGTAAGGGTGTATGTTGGGCTGAAGTAGCCATAGGTAAAGATGCTGCCTCAACAACATCAAAAGGAGTTGCAATAGCATACCCAGCACAGTATTTGCCATTGTCACCTTTAAAATAACCATCAGTGAACCATGAGAAGTCACGTTTACCCAGTGGAATTTCCTATAGAACCATGAGGTGATTCGTGTGGAGAGGTACTTTGTTGGTGAAGGAGGGGAGAAGAGTAGCCAGGTTAAGTTATTACAACAATAAAAGAGTTATGGGAGGGGCAGTTAACAAAAGGATTTCATAGGCGGTGAGGAGTCCAGCTGATAAACGTTGAGTGTAATGAGAATTTAGGAGAGCTTCTATTGCATGAGGTACAGATGGTTAAAGGGGATCCCACATGATTTTCCCAGTGGCCTTAACCAAAGGGCAGTGGCTATAATGGCTCTAAGGCAAAGGGGTATCCCTGTGCCACAGGGTCCAGGTGCTGTTTATAATACCCTTTGGGCTGATGGTGGTCTCCATGGGTTTGGGTGACTACCCCAAGGGCATGCTCTTCCTTTTCATATACAAAAAAGAAAAAGGGAATATGATAATGGGGATGCCCAAGGGCAGGTAGGTTCATCAAACTCTATTTTAAGGCCTTGAAGGCTGTGTCTTGTGGTCCTTCTCAAAAGATTGGGTTGAGGTTGTTATTGTTGAGTAAAACATGTAGAGATTTGGCTGTAAGCGAAATGTGGGATCCAATTTCTGCAGTAACCAACTAGCCTGAGAAAACCTCACAGCTGGTGGTTAGTTTTGGTTTTGGGAAACGTAGGCTGCCATGAAGTCTATCTGGGTCTAGGTGTAGCCCTTTTTCTGATATTAGATGCCCTAAATATCAAATCTGGGTTTGGGCAAATTGCAGTTTTTCTTTGGTGACCTATGTCCCTTTAAGGCCAAAAGCTTTAGGAAGTGGATGCTATCTTCCTGTGTTTCTGTTTATTAATTAAAAAAATTTTTTTTATTGAAATATAGTTGATTTACAATGTTTTAATTTCAGATGTACAGCAGAGTAATTCAGTTATACATGTTCATTAATTTTTTACAGTTCTTTTTAATGAGTGGGTTTCAGGGAGGAGAGGAATGTAAAAGGGACTTAGTAAAACTGTTTCTTAAAATAGATATTATCTGTGCCTTTTTTGGGTTTGATTGATTTAAATTCAAAACTGTCCTACATTTTTTCTACTTAGAATTTAGAAAGTTCGCTGTTAGTAGTTCGATTTCTTATTTGTTCTAGATACCAGGTTTATAATCCAAATGACTAAATGTAATTACTAGCCTATAAGTGTTTTTAATTTTAATTTTAATTTTGGCTGCATTGGGTCTTTGTTTTGTGCGGGCTTCTCATTGCGGTGGCTTGTTGCAGAGCACGGGCGCTAGGCACATGGGCTTCAGTAGTTGCTGCACATGGGCCTTAGAGTGTGTGGGCTTCAGTAGTTGTGGTGCGCGGGCTCTAAGGCACGCGGGCTCAGTAGTTGTGGCTCGCGGGCTCTAGAGCGCAGGCTCAGTAGTTGTGACGCAGGGGCTTAGTTGTTCCGCGGCATGTGGGATCCTCCTGGACCAGGGCTCGAACCCATGTCCCGTGCATTGGCAGGCGGATTTTTAACCACTGCACCACCAGGGAAGTCCATGAGCCTATAAGTTTTTATAGTAGAATTTTTCCCATCTTGCAGTAAGTTTTAATTTCATTGGAAGTTGGAATCATAGAGTTATTCCTAGATTCTTAGATTAATGGTTTCCTATACCAAGACAGGGGTCAGTAAACTATTGCCTACGGGCCAAATCTTGCTCCTCTGTCTGTTGCTGTATGGCTTATAACCAAAGATGAATAAGTTCTGGAGATATAATGTACATCATCGTGATCATAGTCAGCAAAAATGTACTATGTACTTCGAAGTTGCTAAGAGACTAGATCTTAAATGTTCTTGCCAGAAAAAAGAAACAATTATGTGGTGAGATGGTTACCATCATAGCATTACTTAACACTATTATAATGTATAAATGTGTCAACACGTTGTACCCTTTAAACTTACACGCTGTTATATGTCAGTTATACCTCAGTACAAATATTGAGATAAAATTCACATACTATAAAATTCACCCCCTTTAAAATTGTACAATTCAGTGAATTTTAGTGTATTTACAAAGTTATACAACCATCCACATTATCTAATTCTAGAACATTTTATCTGCCCCCAAAGAAACCCCATACCCATTAATTTATTGCTCTTTTACGTTCTGTTTCATAGGGATTTTGCTATGTTCTGACTTCCTGGGTACCATACGGAAACATAAGCTGTTTTTAAAGAGGATATCTTACTGCTTGGATAATTTCTGGGAAGTTTTATGTAGTTTAGCATGTATAATCCTCTCAAAGAGATGCCAGTTTAAAAGATGTTTTTGGTTGAGTAAATAACTTTGTTGTTGGAAATATATTTAATATATCAAGTCCATTGTTTTATTTCAGTTTTAATTAAAAATCTAGACTAGTGGGCTTCCCTGGTGGCGCAGTGGTTGAGAGTCCGCCTGCCGATGCAGGGGACATGGGTTCGTGCCCCCGGTCCGGGAAGATCCCACATGCCGCGGAGTGGCTGGGCCCGTGAGCCATGGCCGTTGAGCCTGCACGTCCGGAGCGTGTGCTCCGCAACGAGAGAGGCCACAACAGTGAGAGGCCTGCATACCACACACACACACACACACAAAAAGTCTAGACTAGTAAAAGACTACATCAAATTGTTATTCACTCAGGAATACTAGGGGATTTTTCTTGGCAAAGAAAATGAACTCATTATCCTTGATAATGATGTGGATGTTTTAAAAAAAAATTCTTGATTTAAAACAGGAGTTGGCAAACTTTTTCTGTAAAGGGCCAGATAGTAAATATTTTAGAGGGTGTGCAGGCCATAGGGTCTCTGTTACTACTACTCAACACTGCCATAGTAGCCTGAAAGCATCCTTGGGCAAAATATATAAATGATTGAGCATGGCTATGTTCCAATTAAGCTTAATTTATAGAATAGGCAGCAGGCTGGATTTGGCCCAGGAGCCAGTAATTTGCTCAGCCAGTAGTTTATTTGCTTCGAATAATATTTGGATTGACGCCAATCCTTATGGATTAGATAGATGTACTATCATTCCATATTTGTTTATAGAGTGTATTCACAGACATTGTCTCATTTCTCATCATTTGGGTTTAGGTGGGGCATATTACCCCATTCATTATACAAATATTGACACAAAGTGCTTTCCAGTGTAACAGAGAAAGTAAGAGGTATCAAGATACACTGGCTGAAATCTCACTCATTCCCTGATTTTGTTCCATGTGTTGGAAATAGCTGTCATTTTCATTATTTTTATTAAAGTCTTGTTACTAGGGCGTTGGATATTAGTTTGTGAATTGTTTCTTTTATTTTTTTCCTTTTTTCATTCTATGAAAAAGACTTGTATTCAACATTTGTAGGTGAATATTTTGAATTTATAGAATTATTAGATTTATTTACATATTAAATAGCTTAGGCTAATTAATCATGCAACTAGCTTGCATTAAAAAAATATATTTATTTATTTGGCTGTTACTTGGTGTTCGTTGCTGTGTGCATGCTTTCTCTAGTTGCAGTGAGTGAGGGCTACTCTTTGTTGCACGGGCTTCTCATTGCGGTGGCTTCTTTTGTTGCACAGCATGGGCTCTGGGTGCGTGGGCTTAAGTAGTTGTGGCTCGCAGGCTCTAGAGCGCAGGCTCAGTAGTTGTGGTGCAGGGGCTTATTTGCTTTGCGGCATGTGGGATCTTCTCAGACCAGGGCTTGAATCCGAGTCCGCTGCATTGGCAGGTGGATTCTTAACCACTACACCACCAGGGAAGTCCCAAGCTTGCATTTTTAAGTGTCATTTTTGTTTACTTTTTAGGAGCTAGAGATGCTATTAGGCTGCCATTTTATCAAACGTGAGAAGTCAGCCCAGAGATGGAAAACTTCATTCTGTATGAAGAGATTGGCAGAGGAAGCAAGACAGTTGTCTACAAAGGGCGACGGAAGGGAACAATCAATTTTGTAGCTATTCTCTGTACTGATAAGTGCAAGAGGCCTGAAATAACCAATTGGGTAAGTCAAGTATGTTTCCCTCCCTTTGGGAAAAGACAGTTATGATCAGATAGAGTTAAGTAGTATGTAAACAGAAGCCATTGAACTCACTATAGCAAATGGCACATTTTCAATTTGGAATGGGCAGCCTTTTCTCTGTAGTGCCACCAATCCTGAATAATGACTAATAAACATACCCAAGTAATTAGCAACTTAGGTTTTTGTTGTTTGTTTTTGTAAGAGTCAGGGAAAATATACTCTATATTAGATCACTTACTTTTAAATTTAGTATATGATTATGAAGCTTTCCAAAGGAAGGACATTGGGTGAGAGTGACTTGGGTTTGCAATAGCTGTACCAACTTTGCAGCCCAGGCTCCTTGGACCAAACCTAGCTTTTTTTTTCCAACTTTTTTTTTTTATTGCGGTAAAATACACATAAAATAAAATTTATCATCAAGCATTTTTAAGTATACAGTTTGATATTAAATACATGCATATTGCTGTGTAGCCATCACCATTTTATACGAGGTACCTTTCAGAAACAAAGTACAAAGGTGATTGCCGGAGGCCAGGGAAAGGGGAAATGGGGAGTTATTGTTTAATGTGTATAAAGTTTCAGTTCTGCAAGATGGAAAGAGTTCTGGACAATTCAACAATCAAACTCTTGGTATTTTCCCAAAAGAGTTGAAAACTTATGTCCACACGAAAACCTGCACACACATGTTTATAGTAGCTTTATTCAAAATTGAAGCAATCAAGATGCCCTTCAGTAAGTGAATGAATAAACAAACTGCTACATATATGCAATGAAATACTGTTTAGTAATAAAAAGAAATGGGCTATCAAGCCACAAGGAGACACAGGAACCTTAAATGCACGTTGTTAGGTAAGAGAAGCTGATCTGAAAAGGCTACATACTGTATGATTCCAACCATATGACATTCTGGAAAAGGCAAAAGTATGGAAACAGTAAAAAGATGAGTAGTTACCAGAGTTTGGGGGGCGGGGGGAGGAGTGGGAAGGATGAATAGGTGGAGTATAGAGGATTTTAGGGCAGTGAAACTCTTCTGTATGATACATGTCATTACATATTTGTCCAAACCCATGAAATATACACTCTGTTTTCCACAGAGGCTATACCATTTAATATTCCCACCAACAGTGTGCAAGGGATCCCATTTCTCTACATCCTTGCAGGCACTTGTTATTTTCTGTTTTTTTGTTTGTTTGTTTGGTTTGGTTTTTGTTTGTTAAAACAGACATCCTCATGTACATGAGGAGGTCTCGGCTTTTGAAAGGTGTGTGAACAGTTAAGGGAAGACAGGTATATGGGGGGCAAGGTGCACAGTAGTTGGTAGATTCAGAGTTGGGAACATGAGGAATTTCTCTTCTGAGGTGAAAATCTAAGCCTTCAGTTAGGAGATGGGGGAAGGGGAAGGCAGTGTTCTAGAAAAGAGGAAAGAAAAGGTGTGAATTAGTCACCTGGAGAACAGACCAGCTGGGGCCACTTGAGATTGGGAATCATCAGTGGAAGGTAGCTCAGTCAGCGTGGTTTGTGTCTGCTTAAGTGCCTTGGGTGTATGCAGAGTGTGTGGAGGGTTGAATTGAACTGGAATAGCAGTACTAGAGCGAGTGAGCTGGAAAGTGAGTGAGTGGTGGTCATGGACTAGGGTGTGTGGAAGAGATTTTGGAGAGAATACAGTTATCAGTAAAAAGAAAAAATCTAGGGCTTCCCTGGTGGCACAGTGGTTGAGAGTCTGCCTGTGATGCAGGGGACACGGGTTCGTGCTCCCGTCTCGGAAGAGCCCACATGCCGCGGAGCAGCTAGGCCCATGAGCCATGGCCACTAAGCCTGCGCGTCCAGAGCCCGTGCTCTGCAATGGAAGAGGCCACAACAGTGAGAGGCCCGTGTACCAAAAAAAAAAACAAACAAAAAAACCAGGAAATATCTAGCAATGCTGTCCAGTAGGAATATAATGGGGGTTACACACATTTTTATTTTTTATTTTTGGCTGTGTTGGGTCTTCGTTGCTGTGTGAGGGCTTTCTCTAGGTGGTGAGTGGGGGCTACTCTTCGTTGTGGTGCGCGGACTTCTCATTGTGGTGGCTTTTCTTGTTGCAGAGCACGGGCTCTAGGCGTGCGGGCTTCAGTAGTTGTGGCACACGGGCTCTAGAGCACAGGCTCAGTAGTGTGGCCCGTGGGCTTAGTTGCTCCGCAGCATGTGGGACCTTTCTGGACTAGGGATCGAACCTGTGACTCCTGCATTGGCAGGTGGATTCTTAACCACTGCGCCACCAGGCAAGTTCTTGTGGTTACAAATCTAATTTTTATTTTTTTTTATTTTATTTTATTTTTTTTTGCGATACGCGGGTCTCTCACTGCTGTGGCCTTTCCCGTTGCGGGGCACAGGCTCCGGACGTGCAGGCTCAGCGACCATGGCTCACGGGCCCAGCCGCTCTGCGGCATGTGGGATCTTCCCGGACCGGGGCATGAACCCGTGTCCCCTGAATCGGCAGGCGGACTCTCAACCATTGCGCCACCAGGGAAGCCCTACAAATCTAATTTTAAAGTTCATAGTATCTATGCTGAAAAAGGAAAAATAAGTGGAATTCATTTTATTAATATATATTACTTAATCCAGTATATACAAAGTATTATTATTTTAGCGTGCAACCAGTATAAAGTTATCGAGATATTTTTCTAATTTTGATGTTAAGTGTTGAGCATCTGGTGTGTGTTTTACACTTGGGGCTCATCCCAGCTCAGACCAACTGCTCCTCAAAAGAGCACAGTAGCCATCTGTGGTGAGTGTTGGCCACGGTATCTCCTGCATTGGCCAGCGCAGGCTGCAGATGGGTGGTTGCGGTGAGGGTGGAGGGTGAGGTTGGCAGCCCAGCGTCTGGAAGAGTGGGTACTTGGCATGTGTTGAGTGTACGGGAGGGTCCGGAGGGGTGTGCTGTGGCCTGAATTCTGTCGGGATTTCTGTACCTCTTTTATTTTTTCACTAGAATTTTCCCTTTTCTGTGCCAGAATCAGCAGAGATCCCTTTCAACTTGCTCACTGAGGGTTCTCCGCATTTTCTCTTGGCCTTATATTAGGGATCTATTACAAGGTGCTCTTCAAATTCTTTCTTGGTCACTCTGATGCTTTTTTTCCTACTCATCTGTCTTCTAAGTCATGTAGATTCATTTTCCTTTATTTTTGGTACAGTATGAGCCCACCTAATTGTTCCTAGAGTGTGCCAAATTCCATTTCTTTTTTTAAAAAAATATTTATTTATTTATTTGGCTGCGCTGGGTCTTAGTTGCAGCACATGGGATCTTTTTTTCTTTTTTTTAGCTGAGGCATGCGGGATCTAGTTTCCTGACCAGGGATCAAACTCAGGTCTCCTGCATTGGGAGTGTGGAGTCTTAACTGCTAGACCACCAGGGAAGTCCCCAAATTCCATTTCTAAAACAGGGAGCTCTGTATTTCTACTAATTATGGGCCCGTTAGCCAGTGTTGAGTGATAGTAGAATTTGTAATTTTGTGTTTTGTTTTTTTTTTAAACTGTACGAGGGCCTCTCACTGCTGTGGCCTCTCCCGTTGTGGAGCACAGGCTCCGGACACGCAGGCTCAGCGGCCATGGCTCACGGGCCCAGCCACTCCGCGGCATGTGGGATCTTCCCGGACCAGGGCATGAACCTGTGTCCCCTGCATCGGCAGGCGGACTCTCAACCACTGCGCCACCAGGGAAGCCCTAATTTTTTTTTTTTTTTTTTTTTTTTTTAAAGAAAATCAGAAAGCAAGGGTGCAAAGCACTTTGGTAAGTTAGTCATCAGCAGTTCTGAGTCTTGATGGTTCGCACACATTTTTGTGGTTTTAGTTCCTATATATAATGGGATTTTTAAAGGGAGGAAGCAAAAATTCCAGAAGCAACTTAGCGTTTTTTAAACAGACAGGCTTTTGCATCTTTATTGTTGAGTTTTGAATTCACTCTTGTTTTTGGTGCATAAGTATTCTTATAATCTAATGGAAATGTACATTTTAAGATCAGTATGTTCATTGTAATCATTCCTCTTTTAAGAATCTAGGTGAATTGATATTAGAATTCACTAAGGATATGCTTAAAAAGAAAATAGAAGGCTTTGAGAGTTCTTTTCAGTATTGTAAAAGTAATACACTGTCATTATAGAAAATTTGAGAATATAGAAAACTGAATAGAAGGAAAGCAGCATTGTTGTATCACCCGAAGGCAATCAGTGTTCTTTTTGGTTTGTTTCTTCTAGTCTTTTTTCCTATGGGCTTTTAAAAAATTTTCTAATCATGTTATTACATAATTTTATTTCTTGCTTTTTTCACTTAACATTATAACGTCATTTTTCCATGTTATAAAATTCAACAAATACTTTAATGTTGGCCTAATAATAATTATTAATATACAACTTATTTAACTATTATTGTATTTTTGAGCGTTTAGGTTATTCTTACTTAAAGGTTTTTTTTGTTTCCTTTAAAATTATTTCTTTTTTCCTCATTATGAAAGTACTGGGTACTTAATATAGGAGATAGAAAATGAGAAGTAGAAAGAATTTAAAAACACGAGTAATTCTACTCCTAACGGCAGCTATTTTGATGTATACCTTCTGGTCATTTTTCCTATGAATATTCTTTTGTGATGTTAATTTACACAAATACACAAAACTTTTGTACAAGGTTTTGTTTGTTTTTAAAGACTGTATATTGAATTAGCATTTTTCCATGTCACCAGCCTTCATAACCATCATTCTTAATGTCTGTATAGAATTCCACTGAATAAATCCCAGTGTCTTCTTATTTATTTCCCAGTTGTGTATTTAGGTGTTTCTTAATAGATGCAAGGGTTTAAGAACTTTTTTATTTTAGTGTGAATGCTGTGTGTTTTTATAGGTTCGTCTCACCCATGAAATTAAACACAAGAATATTGTAACTTTTCATGAATGGTATGAAACCAGTAATCATCTCTGGCTAGTCGTGGAACTCTGCACAGGTAAGATCATGTAAGAAGTGCTACGATTGTAGCCACAATTATATAGTTTTGAAAAACATATGATGTAGTTTTTTTTTTTTTTATAAATTTATTTTATTTATTTTTGGCTGTGTTGGGTCTTTGTTGCTGTGCGTGGGCTTTCTCTAGTTGTGGCGAGCAGGGGCTACTCTTCGTTGCAGTGAGTGGGCTTCTTGTTGTGGTGGCTTCTCTTGTTGCAGAGCACAGGCTCTAGATTCGCGGGCTTCAGTAGTTGTGGCACGCGGGCTCAGTAGTTGTGACTCATGGGCTCTAGAGCGCAGGCTCAGTAGTTGTGGCGCACGGGCTTAGTTACTCTGCGGCATGTGGGATCATCCCAGACCAAGGCTCAAACCCGTGTCCCCTGTTTTGGCAGGTGGATTCTTAACCACTGTGCCACCAGGGAAGCCCTGATATAGTTTTTGCTATTTTCCATTTTTCTTCTATTACAAATATAAGCAGTGTTGATACTATTGAGTACGTTAACTTGAACACCTATTGCTTGATAGATATTAGGGATTGGAAAAGGGTAAAGGTGTTTGGTAAGAGGAAGACGTGTAAAATTCAATTTGGGGTTAACTTTACTTTGGTATAAAATAATGCTAAATCACCTATATAACACTTAGAAATCTTTTTTAGTGATTATTGATCAAAAAAGCTTTCCCATTCAGTAAAAACAAAGTATTTTAGGTCAACTAGCTATTAGCTAATTAGTTTATAAAGTGCTTATCTTTTTATGCGAAGGATACTTGCTCTTAAAAACTTAAGCAATATGGAAAAATACAAAGATGAATCAACAAATACCACCACCTAGCAATAATTAGAGATAACATGTTATAGCTCTTGCTTGCTATAACTTTCTAGGACTATATACAGGAAGAAAGGTGACTAAATACATAGATACTGTATTATCTGGGCTTTCAGTTGCAGTGTCTTTAGGAAAAAATGTAACAAGTACCATGGTTAGTGTACTTCTATTTATACACTGAGTAATAATAAATCATTAAATATTAAGATGAAATATAATTATAGCTTTATGAATCTCCTACATACTGGCACTTAGAATTTAATACAATCATTAAAGAGGTTATTTGGAATAATTCATTTGCATTTTATTTTTCTGAATCAATAGGAGGAGTCTATGGTTTAATTACTTTCATGAGATGTACACACTTTTGAGGTGATCAGGGCACTCAACCTGTTTTACTTTTTGCTTCAGCTGTTATTTGTGACCCCTGGCCATTGTAATAGCCTAACTCTAATTTATGCCTGTGTTTGGAATGGTTCCTCACCCGCCAAACAAAATGAACAGACCCCAAAATACGCCTACCTTCATTGCACTAATTCTGATTGAACTTTCAGATGCCGGCTAAGACTTCACTTTCTCTGAACTTGACTCCTGTTATAATCTTGACCCTAAAAAAAAAAAAAAAAAAAAAAAAGGTTTGTTTCTGGCACTTAGATGGCAGCAGATGTGAGTGGGACCCTGGTAGGGTATAGAAATGGAATTTGCAGCGTGTCTGCCATTGGCCTTTTATTTCATCAGTGGTGTACGTGAGGGTTTGTGATTTTCTGACTATTAAGGAAGAGCACCTTTTTTTGTTATGCAGTTCTTGTAGAATGTGACCTCACTTTGCACAGGAGTAAACGTAACTGTACTTTGCACAGTGTGATTAAAGTGCACAGCTTAGGTTAGTATTTAACACTAATTTTTGTAGCTGTTTCTTTCCTGAGGGATCTGGAGTGAGAAATCACAGCACCACAGTGATTCTCCCTTCATCCCACTGGCTTATTTATTCACTGTTCTTACAGTCTGAGCAGTCATTCTCCCTGAGCTGGCTCTGGAGCGTGGAGGTTTCCATTTACGGTGCTTGGACCACTGTTTGTTAACATGTATGTTTCCCCTGCCAGACTGTCCAGGTATACTGATTTGATCATGTTTTAATGCTCAGGTCCCAGCATGGAACCTCCCAGAGGCACTGTGTAATATTGGTGGGTTAAAGTGGGTGATTTTAATCAACTTGCAGGTGGTTCCTTAGAAATGGTTATTGCTCAAGACGAAAACCTCCCAGAAGATGTTGTAAGAGAATTTGGGATTGACCTGATTACTGGATTACATCATCTTCATCAACTTGGCATTCTCTTTTGTGACATTTCTCCTGGGAAGGTAATTCATGAAAGTTTGGGTTTCCTGTTTGTGTTTCAATTCATAGGGCTTCCTCAAAGATGTTTTTATTTTTAGATACAATTTTGATATAGAACATCTTGAAATTTTAAGTGAACATTTTTTTTAAACAAAAGGAAGTACATTGTACTATATTTTAGGTTCCTATTTAGCTACCTATTGAAGTAGCTTTTAGAAAGGGAAGTCTCCCCTCCTTTCAGGGTTCTTTGAGTAATTATTATTGCTCTTGAGGTATATGGTGAATGATGAGCTCAACAGATCAGTAAGATAAGATTCTTTGCTCTTAAATTATAGTACACGGTTATGAGCCATTATTTTAGTTTGATGATGACATTCTTGGCTATGTATGTATGATTCCTGATATTATGGATCAAATATTTTTCTTTTCTGGTAAAACTAATTATCCATAAGTAAACGTGCTTCAGTGTAGTAGAGTCACAAAACCTGCTTAGAGTCAGAGCCACATTAACACTGATACTTAGAAGCTGTGGGCCCTGGACAAGTTACCTTTTCTCTCTCTCTGTACCTTAGTTTTCTTGCCTGTGATGTGGAAGTAGATATTTCAGGGAGATTGTGAGGATTATGCATTATATTTAGGTTAAACTTTTAGGACATTTCTCAGGGATTGTATGTGTTACTGGTCTTAGCTGCTAGTTCTTTTCCTTTGTTAATGTGAACACAATGAAATGAAAAGTTGAATATTTCCTTGTTAAACATTTTTCTAGGCCATCTATATAAGAACCTAATTAAACCTACAAAAAGCTCCGTAAAAATTCTGTATAACAAATAGAAGTTCTTGTTGGAATATTCATATACTTGTGTCAAGACTATAACCACTTAACTGCATTACAGCCCTGAAAGCAGCTATAGACAATATGTAAATGCATGGGTGTGCCTTTGTTTCAATAAAACTTTATTTATGGACACTGGAATGTCAGTTTCATGTAATTTTCACATGTCAAGAAATATTAGCTTATTTTCATTTTTTTCCAACTGTTCAGAAACATAAAAACCTCTCTTAGCTCATGCTTATACAAGCCTAGAGGCTATAACGTACCAACCTCTGTGTGGGAGCTCTTTAGTGAGGTCTAGTATCAGCTCTTTATAACCTAGGAGCTTCAGGCTGATAAGTAAGGTTACTTTTATTCCAGAACTGGGGTTGGCAGAGTTCCGGCAGGATGACTGTTTCTGTAAATGGAGTTTTACTGGAACACCCACATTCTTTCATTTATGTATTGTCAGTGGCTGCAGACTTCCATAATCAGGACAGAAGCCTTACGGCTTGCAAAGTCCAAAATATTTACTAACTTAAAATTTTTATCTGCCCCCTGCCGGTGGTTTTCAAAGTGTGTTCCCTGTACCAGCAGCATCAGCATTACCTGGAACTTGTTAGAAATGCAGGTTCTTGGGCCCTGCCCCAGACCTGTTGAATCAGGAACTCTCAGGGTAGGGACTAGTAGTTTTTCTTAACAAGGCCTCCAGGCTGCTCAAAAAAAAAGTTTAAAGGTCACTGTTGTAGACTAACTGACATCCTTAGTATTTGTGACTAGAAGTTGAGGGTGAACTTTAAATTGCTTTTAAGGACCAAGAAGCCCCCTGATCCATTGCCAGGGAGGAAGAGATAAAGGTATGATTTCAACAATCAACAGATAACTTCTAATCACAAATTATATTAGCAGACTTGTGCACTTAACACATGCCAGTCACTGTCAGAAGCCTTCTGCATCGTGTATAGCCTCAGTCCTTACAACAGTCCGAAGAGTTAAGTATCATTTTTTCCATTTTGTAGGTGAAGAGACAGATTTACAAAGGTTAAGTAACGTCTGCAGGTCAGACTGCCAGTAAGTGGTGGACCTAGGGCTCAAATCTAGATCTCTAACTTCAAAACCCTAGTCTTAACCCTAAATCATATGTCCTCATTTGAATGAACAACCCCTAGGACAGGTGGGCTTCCAAATCCTCTTTCAGCTGTCACTGAGAATAGGTGAGTATAGCTTGTTTCATATACTTTCCTCTTTATCTTTCCCAAAAGACTGAGGTTTCCCTCTGTGGTTAAATGATGTGTTTTTCATCTACATCTGAGAAGGGACAATTTAATGTTTGATTCTATTACTAGTCAAATGTTGGATTTATGTTTCTTTGGCTTCTTTTTCTAAAAACTTGTAAGCATTTAATTTTCTAAGTTGTGATGAAGCAAGAAAACCAATACTCAGAGTTCTATAGTGAGATTATAAGAGGTACGGATGGAAATGCAAATTGAATAGAATTTGTTTCTGAACACATTTGTTTTTTAACCTTTATAGATACTCTTGGAAGGGCCTGGCACACTGAAGTTTAGTAATTTTTGCTTGGCCAAAATGGAAGGTGAAAATTTGGAAGAATTCTTTGCATTGGTGGCAGCAGAAGAAGGAGGAGGTGATAGCGGGGAAAATGTACTGAAGAAAAACATGAAAAGTAGAGTCAAAGGTACGTGGAGAGCTTCCAGGTCAGAACTCTAGTTGTGGGCCGCCCAAGTCACGTGTTTAGGAAATAATGTCCACCTTTTATGTTGCCAGTCAAAAAATGTATTAAAAATGATCAGGAGAAGTCTGGATTTATGGATGGTTTTGTCCAGGGCCCACATTTTCCGTGTGGCTCTAGTGCCGTGTGAGGCGCAGGGAACCTCTGACAAAGCCTTATCCTTAGCTTTATCACTGACCACTCATTAGAACATAAGGAGCGGGGTTTTGTCTCCCTTCCTGCTGTATCCTCAGCACTTAGAACAGTGTCTGGCATACGCTGGTGGCTCAGGAGATACTCAGCGTTGTTGAGCAGCTGATATTCTTCTGCAAGTAAGGAAGGTTTCTAAGGGTGCGTCCTTGGGAGGTGGTTTTGTCAGTGAGATGGGGCCTGGGCCGTTAGATTGCTGTGCTTGAGGGGAGAGTGTGAAGTCATATTTCTTATACCAGAACTTTTGATAGAAGTGATAAAGATCTTTTTTCCTCAAGTTCCTGGTGTATGTACTTGAGACTTTGGACCACCGAAGCTCTGGTACACTCACCAGGAAGCAAAGGGCACTGAGAGAGAGAGTGGCATCCTTGGGCTTGGTAGTCATATGGCCGTGGATGAGAGGAATGAGGGAAAGGGACGGCGGGGGAGCAGCGGGTTAACAGAGGCCCCATAAATACAAGCAAGGAACTTTAACTTGCAGGGCCAGTCTTGAAGTAAGATTTCACGCCCAGGAAGAAGGCTTTCTAAATCCCCAAATATCATTCCGTGGCATCCTATGAAAATGAGTATTATGGACTATGCTTTTATACAGAAACCAAGGAGGGCAATATGTTTCAGGAACGTGTATTTGAAATTTTCCCCTTTCGTAAGGGGAAGAGGGCTGTGTTGTGAAGAAATGTCAGAGTTTCTAGCAGTGACACTCGATTACTTCTGAGCTTAATCTAAGAACAGTCCCCATGGTGGGCGCACATTAACCTCTTTTCCAAGGGATTGGTGATTACTCACTTCATGGTAAGAACATTCTCATTGGAAGATGGGAGGCTGTGGGTTTTGGCGAGTGCTCTGTTACTGCCCAGCTCTGTGACTTAGAGGATGTTAGAGTACCTTCCAGGCTTCAGCTGCTCTCATAAGTAAGCAAGGGAACTTTCTATCTCTAGAATTTGGTGTTTCTATGTAATACTAAACTCTGTATCGAGTGTACATGATACACACTAGTGCTGTTCACCAAATAGGTCCTGTTCTGTTCCTCTTCTGGTTACATGGTAGGATTGCATCTTCCCTGCCAAAGCTCACCAAGTGTGCGCAGAAGTGATGCGAGTCTCTTTGGGAATTTTAAGAGCCAGTGTTTAATTTGCTACGTTCTTTGCCCCTGCCTTGGTGATTGAGGAAGCATGGTTGAAATGAAGCCTGGGTCTTGGATGGACTGACTGTGAGGGTCGGGGCCCCTTGGCTGACCTGTGAGGGACGTGTAGTTTCAGTTATAAGAAAACCTGTGTGGTTAAGTCAGTGGGAATTTGGGGTGCTTACTGCTGCATAACTTAACCTATCCTATTCAAAATACTACAATCAAAGGTTCTTTTCTTTCAGCTATTTGCATTGTTAATTTAAAAAAAGAATGCACCTCAATGTGCCACACCTCTTACTCAGGTGAACATTCAAAATCTTTGTATTTTTATATATTCTCACATAGTCTTGGGAAGTGGGACCTTAATATTAGAAAACATTAAAAAAATGTGAAATATGCATGAAATTATATTTATGTGCGTGTTCTCCCATCTTTTTTCACCTCACCTGGTCTCTCCTAGGTAGATTTGTGTTGGGAGCAGGACAAACGCCTAACAAAGCTGTCCTTTCTCCCTTGTTCTTAGGATCCCTTATCTATACAGCTCCAGAAATTGTGAGGGGTACTGACTTCTCCATTACCAGTGACCTCTGGTCCTTGGGCTGCCTGCTCTATGAAATGTTTTCAGGTGATTACTTTCTGGTTCAGTTTAAAATCAGAGCTGGACACACACACCCAAAGGTTACATCTGGAGTTTTCAAAGAGTTTACCTATAAGATGTGAAAAAGCTAGTTTTCCTAAAATTTTCTATGTACTGATTTTGGCCGACTTGCTTGGTGTCTAGGCATATGCAGATTTGTAGGAACTTTTGACATGGAGGTATTTTCCATGATGATCATTTGGAATGTTGAAATATGCCTAACTGATGTGTCTAACTGATTATTAGCAGAAAATCTTGTAAAGGTACCTGTGACTGTGAATTGTCAGATGTATCCAGTGGCCCATGTAGCCATTGGATCATGGTTGTCCATAAGTGAATTTTGTATTTGTTAGGTTGATAAATTTTGAATTACACAACTATAAAAATACATAGACAGTGTGCCTGGTATGTACTAGGCATTCAATAATTAGTTATTGCTATATACATATTTTTTCCTGTAAATTATGCAATCCTGAACTATCTGTAGTTGAGATTTATTAAGAATTGTTGGTAACAGCAAACTGTTGTTTAATTTTGCAAGTTTTCACATGATTTCAGGAAAACCTCCGTTCTTCTCAGAAAGTTTCTCAGAATTAGTTGAAAAGATTTTTTATGAAGATCCTTTGCCACCTATTCCAAAAGGTAGGATGTTTTTATTATAAATGCAGTTAATATACTCCTTACGTGGACTAAAGGTGCACTTTTATCCCCAAAGTGTGTTTGTATTGATTCATAACCCCTCAAATTTATATTTTCTAAATAGTCACAAATTGATATTTTTAGAAATGCTAGCATTCCTTTTGCTATTTTTAAAAAGATACTGAAATGGAAAACAAAGTACTACTAAGACTTTCCCTCATTTAAAAATACAAATTATCTTGTGCTCCTATATCAGAAGAAGTCTGGTTCAAAGATTTAAGAAACTCAAACTTTTATGTCTTTTTTTGGTGTGTTCATGTGTATGTACCATTTACTTAATGTGTAGTCATGTCCCATGTAGTTATTTCTATTTAGTGCTTGAATAGGAACAAAAAGGTGTTTCTCAGTCCTTATCTTGATGAATCAGAATGCTACCCAGATAAGCTTTTAAAGTCTTTTAAGCTAGATATGGTTGTATTTTTAAAGTGTTGGCAATTTAATCATACAAAGTGTAATTAATGTAAGTCTACCATTAACAGTTTTAAGAAAAGAAAAGGTACAAACATAATAAAACACTTTGCTACACAACTCAAAAGATGTGAATCTTAAGTCACAAAGATGAAAACAGGACTTTATGAAAAATAAGGTTGTGAGTTTTTAAAGAAAAAACATCCTCAGTAATTAATGGAAAGAATAGAAATACAGAATATTTTCAATATTTTAAGAATCATCCTTGGTGAAAAAAACAACTCTCGATATTTTGAAAATGGTCTATATTTCTTAAAACAAAACATTTCTTTTTTATTAACTTTATTTTAATTTTCGTAGAAATCAGTCCTTCCTGTCTCCTATAATGATGACTTCTGATTTTTTTTGTTGTTGTTTTAAGTACTCATAGTACTGAGTATTGTTTTCTCCTAATAAGTTAAAGATTTTTATGTAGGGAACAGAAATCTGAGAATGAAGATATCAAAGGTCTGGTCAAGATACTACTTTGGCCTAAGCGTAATTATTTCACAGGGATCTTGATCAGACTGTGGCCACAGTGCCTGATAGCACCATCTGTTCTGATGGCTTTGGCCGTTATCTTCATGGCCACTTCTTTTAATGATAGACTGATAATTTGACCATGGTATGTACCTTTCTAATATAAAAAGACAAAACACTTGGAGATTAATGGAATTGGACATTGTCATAATATTGTGATGATTATTTTCCTGTTAAAAATCTTTAAAGAGAGATTGCAAGTACTCTAATCATAGTATATTATAAAGCAAAGCTGGTCAAGTTAAGAGAAAATGGTCAGAAAATGAGGCATAATTAATAGCTGAAGACCAAGGGTATGAGTTTGTCAAGCTGGTGGTCCTTACTGGGCTTGTTCAGTAAAGAGAAAGTTTAGAGGTTAGTCAGAACTTAGTTTTTGAGATTCATATTTTTTGTGGTCCAGGGAAGAGTTTTTAATTTTTGTGTCCTGCCGCCCCAGCCCTCTCCTGGCATTAAATGAAGACTGTTACTATGTATTCAGTGTTCTCTTAAAAATAGTTTATGTGCTTAAAATACTGTTATTATGATGTTGATGTAGGGTGTGTTTTCAGCTACTTATCACTTTTTTTCTTTTTTGGGTATTACTTTGTGTATAGATTCTTCTCGTCCTAAAGCTTCTTCAGATTTTATTAATTTGCTTGATGGTTTACTTCAAAAAGATCCTCAGAAAAGGTATGTATGGGTAGTACTTTAACATGAATAGAGACTGGAATCCTTTTTGCCTTTAGTGTACTTCTAACACTGTACCGGTCTTAATATAGAAAGAACTGTTCAAATTATCTTTTTTGAAAAAAAAAGAAATCTTGAGTTTACACTGAGTGGCTGCTCTCGGTTTACAGGTGTTTTTAATCATGAGGAATTTTAACTCTTTTAATGTAGCAAATGGTCGCCTCATAGGTTGACAGATTTTCTTGTAACTCCCAAATCCAAGAGGTACATTTTTTTTTTTTGCCCCCCCGTTGTGGATTTCAGGCTAAAACTGTCTTAGCCTACTCAACTAGGGATGACACTGTCAAGATACTTAATGTAATAACGAATAACGGAGCAATATTTCAATGCGATGTGATTTATGATAATCCTGTCATACTGGGAATATCAAGTGACAGGATAATAGGCACAGTGTGAATTTTCTGTGTTGCAGGGATGGCAGGAAGTTAGAAATCCTTATGGTGTGGAGTGGGGCAGGGCAGGAGGGAGTGGGGAGTGAAGAGGGGGTCTCCCTGGCCTGGGAGACAAGAGAACCTAGGTTCTGGTTCTGCCACTAGGTATCTAGGGGTTTTAGGCAAGCATTTGGGGTCTCTGCTTCAGGGTATAAATGAAGAATAAATTTAGTGTAGCATGTAATGTATCTTCATTAAATATAACTGAAAAACTGCAGAAGACTGTTGATTCTCGTATAAGTTGTAAGACACTCCTATGCTTACAATAGAATGCTTTTAGGATCAACGTTATTTTAGTGGATACCTTCCCAGACATATTTGGATAAGATATAAATATACTTAATTTAACTTACTTTATTTAGGATTTATTTAGGACACATTTCCACATATTTATATCCCATATTAAATACTCTTTTGCATACATGAGACCACCCCATAATCTAGTCTTTTTCTCTCTCTATATTTGCTTGGTTATTTTAAATGGCTGCTGAATGTACATGTAATAACCTGTAATAACAACATTGAGAGTTTTCTTGATTTAGAATATCATATACACCGACTGCTACAGTAAATATCCTGTTTTTGTTTTTGTTGTTCACTTAGGCAGTTATCACCTTTGGATAATTTTCTTAAGGTGGGGTGGCTGGCCAAAGGCTGAGAACAGTAAAAAGTTTGACACATTTGCTGCATCCTAGGAACACGGGTGGGTTTATACCTCCAGCATTAGAAATTTCCTCCCCCCCCCCATTGTTACCTACAATGGGTTTTGTTGACCTTATAAATTTTTGCCAATCTAATGGATGAAAAAATATTCCATTTTATTGGTAATTTTAATTGTTAGTGAATTTTAGGAGCCCATTGTATAAAGGGAATATTATATGTGGTTGCAAATTCTCTCTTTTATATTTGTGTTTTAATTGTGATCAAGGTAGTTTTTATTTCAGTATGGAAATTTTGAACGATTAAATGAATCAGATACAAATTACTTTTTTGTTTTAAAATTTTAGTCGAGCTTAATCATTCTGAGTTTGAGTATACCTCAGGTATAATCTGTTTAATTAATTAATTAATTTTTTGGCCGCCTCTGCGGCATGCGGGATCCTAGCTCCCCAACCAGGGATTGAACCCGTGCCTCCTGCAGTGGAAGCATGGAATCCTAACCGCTGGACTGCCAAGGAATTCCCCTCAGGTATAATCTACTAGTAGTAAAATTTGATGCTTTGCTAGTGAGTCTGGGTTTTAAATATGGCCTGAAGTCATTTTACAGTGGGTGAGCTAGTTAGATAACGTTTCGACTTCTAAAGAGAAGCGTGACTCTGGATATAGTCATGAGGTTGATAATCTTGTTTCTTTCTGAATGAAGCTCTAAAAGTGAAGTTCCAACAAGAATGTGTGAAACAAATCTGATCTATGTAACTGGGGCATGTCCTGGGAATTCTCCATGGTAAATCATGTTAAAATAGATTTTTAACATTTATGTTTTATAAAGATTAACTTGGGCAGGACTACTGCAGCATTCATTTTGGAAGGATGCTTTCACTAGAAAAGATCAGGACTCAAGCAACGAGGATTCCAGTGTCAGGTAGTATAAGCTTATTTTTGTGTGTGGGGCATGGTTATTAAACACTTGTACCCTTGCTATTCTATTTTTGCAGCATCAATGACATGAATTTCTATGCCTTCCTAATAGGAGGAAATCAAGCATGTGTTTAATTAAGGGTTGCTTAAAGAGTTTAGTCATGACATTTTGTGTTCTTGATTTTGCTGATTTTCTGGTCAATTGTTTATCCAGGCAGGGATTTAGTATGGTCGTCATTAGTTTTTGTTCATTGTGTTCAGCTGGCTTCCCACCTTGTCAGCACATGGTAGGATCTCATTTCCCCAAGTTAGGTGCAGTCACGTGACTTGCTTTGGCTAATAAAATGTGAGCAGAAGTGACCTGTGTTATTTCTGGATGGAAACTCGAAGAGCCACTGTGTGATGTGCCACATTTCTTTCTCTTGATGAGGTAATTGGGAAGGAAATGTCCAAGTGGAGTTGCTGTCAGGCTGGGTCTTTAGTGACCATGGTGAGCATAGCTTTCCTGCCAGCCTTCAGTGGCTATGTGCTTGAGTGAGACATAAAGCTAGGAGATTCTGAGTTCTAGGATTTGTGGATTTTGTGTTACCACAGTATAACCTAGTTCATCCTGACTAATCCACTTCATTTTATTATAAAATCTTTTTAGCCCAGGACAGTTATAAAAATGATGGTATTTTCAAAAAATTAATTAATTTGTTTTTGGCTATGTTGGGTCTTAGTTGTGGCATGTGGGATCTTTTGTTGCAGCGTGCAGGCTTCTCTCTAGTTGTGGTGCACAGGCTCAGCAGTTGTGGCGCCTGGGCTTAGTCGTCCCACGGCATGTGGGATCTTAGTTCCCTGATCAGGGATTGAACCTGTGTCCCCTGCGTTGGAAGGTGAGTTCTTAACCACTGGACCACCAGGGAAGTCCCAAAGTGATGGTATTTTGAAAAGAACAAGGTGAGAAGTAGATGAATAGAGGCAAAGTCCAGATAATTGACTCCCCCTCTCCTCCATTCATTCGATGGTAAGTGGTTGTCTGATTCTTAATTTTGATCTTGTAAATTCACTGTATCGGATAGAGAAGTCTGAATTCTATTTAAGGTCTCTCCCAAACTTCAGTTTCTGTGATCCATTGAGCTTCAGCTATGTTTTCACATTGTATTAGACTCTGAAAAGTACAGAAACCTGGGCTTAGGACCTGGTCCATCAGTGTCAGCAAATCCCAGGACACCTTTCACCTTAGTTTGTCATCTTCCTTTTAATCTGTATACTTTTTATTTCTTTTTCTTGCCTTACTTCCCTTGCTGGGACTTTTTCGGTAAGGTAATGAATGAGGAGTGATGAAAATGAACACATTGCCTGGTTTCTCATTTTAGAACGAAAGCATTCAGCCTTTACTTGTTAAATATGATGAGCTGGAGGTTTTTGTAGCTTCCCCTTTTCAGTTTGAATGAATGTTAAATTTTGTCATTCTTTCTGTATCATTTGATATGATCATGTGGTTTTTCTTCTTTAGACTCTCATTATGGACTCTTACATAAAGTGGTTTTCATATATTGAGGCAGTCTTGCCTTCCCACAATAAACCCCACTTAGTCATGGTGTATTATAGTTTTTATGTCTTGATGGATGTGTTTGGGACCAAGTAGCAGTAGGACAAGGAGAGAGGAGAAAAAAGAGAACAGAGCGACAGAGATTTGCTTCACATTCTTGGGGGTCATAACTCTCTGGCTAGAGAAGAGAATGTTCCTCCTTCAGGGTTTTAGGCACTGGCCAGAAGCGGCTACTGTCCCCTGTAGCTGCTGCAGGATTACCTGCAGGCTGGGGAAGGACAAAATGGAAAAAGCAAAAGCACAAACAAAAAACTAGGGTGTTTCCACCGCTCTGACCCTTAGGGGTCCCCTTTCCTGTTCCTTGGAACAGAAATAGAGGGCTTCTCTTGGGGCTCCTGTCTACTCACTGCTTTTGAGTCCAGGTCGAACAATACTGGAAGGGAAAAAAATAAAAGGGAAACTCACTACTGGTTCACTGATATCTTGAGTTCTGGTTTACTTCGCCGATCTGCCTGCTGTTACTTATTTTTCAGGGATAAGGTTTATAGGCTTCTTAGTACAATACCTACCATGTAGTAAGTGCTCATTTTAGCTACTCAATGAAAAATATTACTTTTCTAACTCGCTAGTTGTTTTTTTTTTTCTGGCCATGCCACACAGCTTGCAGGATTTTAGTTCCCCGACCAGGGATTGAACCCAGGCCCTGGCAGTGAAAGAGCGGAGTCCTAACCACTGGACCACCAGGGAACTCCCTCTAACTCAGTAGTTTTGCCAAATGTCCTGTGCAGTTTAAGTATCTTTTCCAACCTCTTGTTTGACAGAGAAAACTCTACAGAAAGCTCAGTAGTAAGCTTGGTTGTGTTGGGTTTCTATCGTTGAACAGCAGAAACCTGGAGTATTCTGGGTCACAAGATTCCAAGGAGCTTCTCAAGAGCCCTCATTGTGGACAAGCAAAAGGGGAGAAGAGTGGTGAGCAGCTCAGTCACTCGTTTAGACTAGGTGAGCTTTCATTTGGCACTCTTGAACTCAATGCTATTTCTGAGAGTTCCTAATTTGCGTTACCTTTCTCTTTAAATCTCTGTGTACGTCGTGCCCTGCTCATATTTTTGTTCATTGATGGATATTGTTTTATCTTCCTGCCACAGAAAATCCATCTGAGTTGCGGCCTAAGAGCACTCTTGGGGGTCAGTTGAATGAGTCCATGTTTCTTCTCAGGTATGTAAAATGACGGAGCAATAAGGGATCCATGGGAGATGAAAGTGAAATCTTCTTCAAGTGTCTGTTGTCTGGCTGGTAAACCATGTTACACAGAAATAAAGGACAGGGAGAAATGCAAATTCCAGTCTCACTCTCTACTTTCAAAGTTACTGTTAAGTGCTGGCCAATGGAATGTAGACGTCGCTACGTATTTTTAAAAAATTGTAACCAAACCACCTTATTTTTCCTATTTATAAGGGTTAATTAAAACGTTTTCATTTTGTACTTCTACTTCAAATAAAATTGAATTTAAAATTTCAGAACTCCAGCTTTATTTAGATAAAGACTTACAGAAAAAGAACAGGTTGTGTTTTTATTTAAATGTCGCTTTATCTGGGAGGCTTAAACAGTATTTGCAATCATTGAAATAATAAAATCAGAATGGTATTTAAAGTGACTAAGACCAGTGTATTTAAAATTTTATTAATGTGTAAATATTGTGTTATATTTTATTTATAGTTTTAGTCTCATAGAGAAATAGTTTAATTTCATGACATAGGGGTTATAATGATAAACTAAAATTTCCTGATTTGTTTTACTCATATTTAAATATAAAGCATGTTAAATTTATTTATATATATCTTAGGCATTTTAAATTCAGTTTTTTAAAAAAAATTTTGTATGATCTCTGGTATATTTTATGACCTAAGTAAGTCCTTGTTTAATGAATGAATAAAAAGGCAAGTAGATGAAGGAGGGGTGATAATTTGGAAATTTGAAGGAGTTCATTAAAAGAGACCGTAATGATCTGAATGGAAGAATTTCTTAAAATGCAGAAAACTCAGAGACCTGGGTGTAATGGAGTGGTCCACAGAGTATGGCAGCCATCGATAGGTGTAGGAGGAATCATTAAAAATAGATACAGAATATAACTTGTTGCTTAAGTAGGTACCAAGGTAATTTTCCATTTCAAACATTTTATGAAATAAAATTGTAAACCTTGTCTATGCTTTGTAGAGTATCTGTTCTATTTTATTATGTTAATCCTGCTTAGATCAGCAGACATTAAAAAAATCTTTTTTTTAGGTTTCTGGTTAAAACAGAAAATACTGTATATAGTATAGAAGCTCCAAATAAAAAAAACAATTACCCAGGAAATTACTTTGAAAACAGTTTAAAAAAATGAGTGTCATAAACACAAATTAGAGTTTAAAGTTTTTAAAATCTTAACGAGGTCACATAGAATCATCATATTCTACCGTTTTTCATGAGATGTGTTTTTTAACCCAGAAAATAGTAAACAGGATAAAGTTTCTGAAATGTGAGTAATGTTAACTGGTGTGCACTTTTCAGTTCTCGTCCGACTCCAAGAACTAGCACTGCAGTGGCATTAAATCCTGGTGAGGCTATGACTCAAAATTCACCACAGAAGACTTCTCCCTTGACCAAAGTAAGCAGAGATGGAATTTTCTTTTTTTCTTTTTGCGTAGGATACAGGGATTCAGAAGAATAATTGCAAGTTAATCTCTGAACTGTGTTTTTAATTGCAAAATTTACAACTGAGTCATCTTCCTTGATTATCACTGGTTTTTCTAGTAAGTACTCTTAAGAGAGAGGTGCTTCATAGGTGTTTTTTTGATAACAGCTTTATTGAGATATAATTGACACACCATATAATTCACCCATTTAAAGTGTATAATTCAGGGGCTTTTAGCATAGTCACAGAGCTGTGCAGTCAGCACAGTCAATTTTAGAATGCTCATCATTTTGCAAAGAAGCCCTGTGCTCATTAGCAGTCACTCCTATTTTCTTCCAGTTTCTCTACCCTCTTGCCTGAGGCGACCACTAATCTACTTTCTGTCTTTATAAATATGCCTATTCCGGACATTTCATATAAATGGGATCATACAATATGTGATCTTTTGTGACTGGCTTTTTTCACTTAACGTAATGTTTTTAAGATTCATCCAAATTGTACCATGTATCAATACTATATTCTTTTTTACTACCCAATAATACTCTGTTGTATATACCACATTTTATTTTTCCATTCATCCATTTGTGGACGTTTGGATGGGTTTCCCCTTTTGGCTATTCTGAGCGATGCTGCCGTGAACATTTGTGTACATCTTAGTGTGGGTGTGTGTTCTATGCTGTATCACATGATAACTGTTTAACCTTCTGAAGAACTGCCAAATTGTTTTCCAAAGCAGCTGTACCATTTTACATTCTCAGCACCAGTGTATGAGGGTTCCAATTTTTGCACATCCTCACCAAAACTTGTTATTATGTCTTTTAAAAAATTGTGGTAAAATACACATTACATAAAATTTACCGTTTTAACCACCGTTAAGTGTACGGTTTGGTGGCATTAAGTACATTCACACTGTTATGTAACCATCACCACTATCCATTCCCCCCTACCCATCCCTCACCCCAACCCCATCCACTGGCAACCATTGTTCTACTTTCTGCTTCTATGAATTTGCCTAGTAACCTTATATAAGTGGAATCACACAATATTTGTCCTTTTGTATCTGGCTTATTTCACTTAGCATAATGTCTTCATGATCCATCCACGTTGTAGCGTGTATCAGGAATTTCATTCCTTCTTAAGTCTGGATAATATTCCATTGTGTGTATGTACCAATTTATTAATTCATCTTTTGATGCACAGTTGGGTTGCTTCAACCTTTTGGTTATTGTGAATAGTGCTGCATCGTCTCTTTTTGGTTACAGCCATCCTAGTAGGTGTGAAATTATATCTCACTGTAGTTTTAATTTGCATTTCCCTGTTGGCTAATGATGTCGAGCATCTTTTCATGTGCTTATTGGCCATTTGTATATTTTCTTTGGAAGAATGTCTATTCAAACCTTTTGCCCATTATTGAGTTGTAGGGGTTCTTTATATATTACAGATATATGATTTATAAACATTTTCTTCTGTTCTGTGAATTGTCCTTTCACTTTCTTGATGGTGTCCTTTGAAGCACAAAGATTTTAAATTCATTATCTTTTTTGTGTGTTTGTTGTTGCCTGTGTACTCTTGGTGACATAACTAAGAAACAGTTGTCTACTCTAAGGTCATAAAGGCTTATTTCTCTGCTTAGATCTTACATTTTGGTCTGTAATCCATTTTGAGTTAATTTTTGCATATGGCACGAGGTAGGGGATCCAACTTCTTTGTTTTGCATGTGGATATCCAGTTGCCTCAGCACCGTTTGTTGAGAAGGCTCTTCTTTCCCAAGACATTAAATAATGTCTTGGAATTCTTGTTGAATATTAATTAACTATAAATGTGAAGGTTTACTTCTGGGCTCTCAGTTCTATTCCATTGATTGATATGTCTTTCGTCATGCTACTAGCACACTGTCTTAATCACTGTGGCTTTTTAGTAAGTTTTGAAATTAGGAAGTATGATTTCTGACTTTGTTCTTTTTCAGAGTTTTTTGTTTTTGGCTATTCTGGGTCTCTTGCATTTCCATATGAAGTTTAGGATCAGTTCGTCAGTTTCTGCAAAGAAGCCAGCTGGGACTGTGACAGCAATTGTGTTGAATCTCTAGGTCAATTTGAGGAGTATCGCCATGCTAACAATATAAAGTTTTCTTCCACAAACATGGGATGTCTTTCTATTTATTTAGTTATTCTTTAATTTCTTTCAATCATAGTTTTTTTGAATGCAGAAATATTCTGAAGTAAAAAATTCACCAAGTTATTATTTATTGTACTTATTGCAGTTGTTGCTGTATTTTTTATGTAATGTGAAATGCATTCGAACCATGTGAAACTTAATTTTGTATGGAAATGAAATGTAAATAGGTTGTAATAAAATCTCACTGTGCTAATAATTGGTTATATGTGAGATAGAAAATCACTGTAAAAGTAAAAAAATGCATTCTGAAAGGCGATAGATGTTGAATTTCTTCTGCCAGATGTTTATTGTGGAGGAGTGTATGTAATTATTTTATTGAGAATATTTAAGCACTAATTATATAAGGGAGCTTATGTTTTGTAATTTTTTAAAATAAATTTCTAAGTTTGTTTACTGGCTGCGTTGAGTCTTTGTTGCTGCGCCTGGGCTTTCTCTAGCTGTGGCGAGCAGGGGCTTTTCTTGTTGTGGAGCACGGGCTCTAGAGCACAGGCTCAGTAGTTGTGGTGCACGATCTCAGTTGCCCTGCAGCATGTGGGATCTTCCCGGACCAGGGCTCGAACCCACGTCCCCTGCATTGGCAGGCGGAGTCTTAACCACTGCACCACCAGGGAAGCCCCTATGTATTCATTTATAAACAAGGGAACATAATTTTATGACTTAATTTTTTCATTTAATATGTAGGACCTCATTGCAATTTTTGATTAGTTTATTCCTGAGCATTTTATTTAACAGTTTATTTTTTACTATTGTGAATGGGATATTGTATTTTTATAACCTGTTTTTGTGCATACATTCACTTTATGTATATGAAATTAATTTCTACATATAATTTTCTAATTGGTCTACCTTACTCATTTTTAGATTATTGTAAAAGTTTTTCAGTTGACTTCATTTTGGCTTTTCTTTCAAGTTTATCTGTTTTGAAAGTCCATGTTCTTAAATTTTCTTTAACATAGTTTTTTACAGAAGTTCCTCCTTACTTATTCTTCATGTGTTTTTAATATGTCTGTCTTCTAAGTTGAAGAAGGGTTGTTGAGGTTTCCATGAACTTTGTTAGCTAATTACTCTGTCCCTTACCTTAGTTTTGGATCATTTCTTTTTCTGCTTACCTTTCACTTCACTGATTTGATTTCCTGGTTAGCATTTTTTCAGTCAAAGTTTCAGTGGAAGTTCTTAATGCATAAATCCTCTTTTTTTTTTTTTGTCTGATGTGAAATACTAAGGCATAGCACTAGGAATAAAAGTTGAGTGTTGGGCTTCCCTGGTGGCGCAGTGGTTGAGAGTCCGCCTGCCGATGCAGCGGACGCGGGATCGTGCCCCGGTCCGGGAGGATCCCACATGCCGTGGAGCAGCTGGGCCCGTGAGCCATGGCCTCTAAGCCTGCGCGTCCGGAGCCTGTGCTCCGCAACGGGAGAGGCCACAGCCATGAGAGGCCCGCGTACTGCAAAAAAAAAAATAAAAGTTGAGTTTAAGGAGAGCACAAAGAAACATCTTGAATAACTGATGGGGAACATCTAGTTATTCATTTTCATTATGTGTCAATTCCGCTTTAACTAGGATTTGTAAAGATGTGGGTGTTTAATACTTACATAACAGGTCAGTACTTCAGCTTGAAATTTTTTTATGCTGTAATTTAAATTTCATATTGAATATTCTGTAAAGCAGAAATAAGCTGATTAAGTTTTGGCGGATGAAAGATAACAACCCTGCTGGTAATTGAAAGACCAATTTGTCTCATCATAGTTCAGAACATCAAACTATAGAAGATCTGTTTTCTAGTTCTAACCAGCTATTGTGGTAAACACGAGCAAGTCAGTTACTTTCTCTGAGCCTTGTTTTTTCCATCTGTAAAAATGGGAATAGTGATACACTAGATTTAGGATTTTTGTGAAGATCAGATGAGACTGTCTGTGGAAGTGTTTTGAATAGCAGTGGAGGTCCATTGATACAGGTGACTTTTTTCAGTGGAGTCTACTCAGCATCTTACTAGCTCCGTCTCTTAAAGCTTTTCACTAGTCACAGAAACCGGGTCTAATTTTTGTTCTTGTTTCAGATTACAAGTGGACACCTGAGTCAGCAGGACCTGGAGACCCGGATGAGAGAGCTTATCTACACAGACTCAGATCTTGTCATCACCCCAATTATTGACAATCCGAAGGTGCGGGAAGGCACCCTAACAACCGAGGGCTGAAATCTGGGTGATGTTTTCATTCCCAGTATACTTTGCCTTATTTTCCTTTTTTTTAAAAAAATTATTTTTTGGCCACGCTGCATGCGGGAACTTAGTTCCCCGACCAGGGATTGAATCCACGCCCCCTTTCAGTGGAAGCGCAGTCTTTTTTTTTTTTTTTTTTTTTGTGGTACTATGGCCTCTCAGTGTTGTGGTCTCTCCCGTTGCGGAGCACAGGCTCCGGACGCACAGGCTCAGCGGCCATGGCTCACGGGCCCAGCCGCTCCACGGCATGTGGTATCCTCCCGGACCGGGGCACGAACCCGTGTCCCCTGCATTGGCAGGCGGACTCTCAACCACTGCGCCACCAGGGAAGCCCGGAAGTGCAGTCTTAACCACTGGACCTCTAGGGAAGTCCCTTCTTTGCCATATTTTCTCTCCTGTTCTTGTTGTCGTCTGCTTTTCTTTCTTTCTTGCCACGTGTCTACATTCCTAACCCTCACCTTTTCTGTAACCCTCTCCTCTTCCTGCATCACTCTCTCTTTCACTGGAAGGGTAAGTTTTCTTCCCCCCTTTGCAGCAGCTCTGCCTGTCAGTACATGAGCTGGAGAGTGGCTGCTGACTTCTAGACCTCAGACCTTAGCCTCAGTCCCTTCATTTCTCCATATTTACTTGGGTGAATTACTCCAGACATTCTCCTCGCTGATGTGTTGTGAAGGCAGATGTCAGGGAGCAGCGCTCACCAGACTGGGGTGGGTGGGCAGATCACAGGGAGGCCACACCTCTCATAGGTTGTCAGGATTGTAGGGCAGACGATGGGGAGACACGGGGAGCTTGGGGAGTCAAGGTTACAATGCACTTCTAACCCAGTGGGATTTTCATTGCTTCACATCTTTGGAATATAATACTGTATTAGTAGGGAATGATGAGTACTCTCCTTGGAAAAGGAAACTAATTTCTCAGTTCCTCTGTTTTCTGTTGATTTCCAGCTCCAGCACACATTTCACCACCTATTATGCATTTTTATTTCCTTCCTTTTTTTAAAATGTCTTTTTCTTTATTCATTTATGACTGTTTCATCTCACTGGGGAAGTTTCTATAGTCTGGCACAAAAGGCTTCTTAGATCAATGTTTATTTACTAGATAGACAACATTTAATATAGATTACTCAGCTATTTGTCATAATGGAGCTATCTCTTTTTATGCATTCAGGTATCTGGCAGAGTAACTGTATATTATACCAAATTTAATGGGTAACGGTATTTTCCCAGTGGAAGTTCTAGAACAATTTGTGCTATCTTTTGACCATATTCTGTATTTCTTTCTTTTTATAACCAGACCTAGTTGTTTCTGGGAAACCTTAGAAGTTTTTTTTTTTTAACTTTTAATTTTGAACTAATTTTAGACTTAAAGGTTCAAAAATAGTAGACTTCCTGTATACCTTTTACCCAGCTTCTCTTAGTGTTAACAATGTACAGGAACACAGTACTGTTAGCAAAACCAGGGGATTGACATTGGTACAGTGCTGTTAACTGATGAGCTGATTTGAATTTCATCAGTTGTGCCACCAGTGCCCTTCTTCTTATGTTCCAGGATCCCATGTTACAGTTGTTTTTTTTTTTTTGCGGTACGTGGGCCTCTCACTGTTGTGGCCTCCCCCATTGCGGAGCGCAGGCTCAGTGGCCATGGCTCACGGGCCCAGCCGCTCCGCGGCATGTGGTATCTTCCCGGACCGGGGCACGAACCTGTTTTCCCTGCATCGGCAGGCGGACTCTCAACCACTGCGCCACCAGGGAAGCCCTACAGTTGGTTTCTGTGCCTCCTTAGTTTGCTCCAATCTGTCCTTGTCCTTCACAGTCATGTGGTAATTTCATATTCCTTCCTTGTGTCTCATGACCTTGACACTTTGAAGAGTACTGGGCAGGTATTAATATTTTGTAGAATGTCCCTCAATTTGGGTTTGCCTAAGTGTTTCTCATGATTAGAATGAGGATATGCAGTTTTGGTGAGAATACTACCAGCAGAAGTTTAAAAGATGCTCTATGGAGAGGTTTTGGAGAAGTTAGACATAGAAATGATGATTGAATTTTTTTTTTTAATTAATTATTTTTGGCTGCATTGGGTCTTCATTGCTGCATGCGGGCTTTCTGTAGTTGCGGCGAGCAGGGGCTACTCCTCATTGCGGAGTGCGGGTTTCTCATTGTGGTGGCTTCTCTTTGTTGTGGAGCATGGGCTCTAGGCACATGGGCTTCAGTAGTTGTGGCACTCGGGCTCAGTAGTTGTGGCTCGCGGGCTTAGTTGCTCCGCAGCATGTGGGATCTTCCCAGACCAGGGCTTGAACCTGTGTCCCCTGCACTGGCAGGAGGATTCTTAACCACTGGGCCACCAGGGAAGTTCGATGGTTGAATTTTTTAATTAAAAGTGTCATGTTGAAGTACCCCAGCTATTCCAAACTCATGGTTCCAGCTGCTATACGCTTTCCTCACTTTGCTCAAGGAAATCGTGTGCTTTCCTATTCATGAAGTGTATCTTCGCCAATTCAGTCATCAAGTCCTGACCACTCTTCAAGACCTCATGCCACTTTCCAGGTCTTCCATATACCCTGCCCTGACCACATCAACCTAAAGTCCTTTCTGATTCTCTATCTTTTTAGAAACACTTCTCTGAAGTGTTCTGTCTGTAATTATGTCCCGCCTGTTTTGCATTCTAATTTAAATATCTTATGTTTTTCTGTGGTTTCACAGATGTTTGTCTTATCTTTCTAGCCAGTGTGTCGGCTCTCTGGCAGTAGGATCATGTCTTTGTATCCCCCTTAGCATAGTGCCTCACCCTAGCAGGTATCCAATAAATATTTGTTGAGGAACTAAATTTCTAACCTAGAGGTAAATTAGCCTAAGAGTAAGCCAGGATAGGGTGACCCTTTTCCATGATGCTTTATTTTATTGAAGATATCAATTGAAATGATTTTATTTTATGCATTATTACCTATATTTGTATATTTTACTCTGAAGGGGCTTTGTTGAATGCTTATTCTTTTTGGTGATACATTTTACAGTGTTCTTTTCTGTCCTCATTGATTTATAATCTGATATAGGAGACATATCAGGAGATAGATACCCATCTTAAAAGGTTTTGTTTTGTTTTTTTAACCACAGATAATGAAACAACCACCAATTAAATATGATCCAAAAATATTGCATCTACCAGCACATTCAGGTAGGATCATAAAGGGCTTATCAAGCACATAGATTCATGGCGGACAAATACAAATATGAAATTTAATAGCAAATGGAATATTTTATTTATGAATAGCTAAATTTTTATTTTCTTGCCAACTGGCTGTATTCTTGAGACACTGTATAAATTATAAACAACCTGTAATCCATTTGAGCCAGCGTTTGCCCTTACTCAGCTGGGTCTAGGCTGCTCAGTACTCTTGTGAGTGGGAAAGTTCCTATGAAACTGGGCGAGTTTTCCTGTTGAACGGGTGGGCCCTTCTCCTGTCCTTTCCCTTGTAAAGCCAGTTGAATTTCCAACATTAATGGTGCTCTTATGGGTACAGAAGGTTGGAAACCACAATGAAGAATCGAGATTCTACTTGAGGGAGTAGGGCAGTTGAGATTAGGGTCAGATGGTTGGTTCACTTTTGTGGGGTTGATGTAGGACTGGAGGTACTTAAAGGTCGATTGTTACGTTCCCTTTCCCCTAACAAAGTCTTACTTAGGGTGAGTATAAGAATTTTTCTTATACCTTAAATTTTGTTTGATAAGTTATATTTTAAGCTGTTAAACTAGATCTGGAAAAATTCTTCATCATAGCTGGAGTAGAATCTATGATTTGAAATCAAATCAAAGTAAATTCAAAATAAACAACATACGTTCAAATTGAAATAAACTGTTCCAAGTAGAAGCACTATTTATGAAAACTTAGAGGAAAATTATCTCAAAATAATATTCCGTCCCTTTCCCCCTTTACTTTGAATTATTTTAGGAAATTATTGTTATAGCTTATTTTGTTTAAATATAGAGATTAGGTGAAACTATGTTAATTTTAGCTGGCATTTCATTTCCCAGTTTTTGTCTTTTGTTTGTATAGGGGTTTGGAGGTGGGACTCCCAGATGATTTCAGCTTTGTATTAACCTAGTTATGTTTACTAGTAATTTCACTGGGACCTTATAACATCTGTAGAAAATTTGGCTTTTCCAGTACTTTAAGGCTAGGTTGCTTTATTTATGCAAAGGGTATCTTGTTTTTTCCATAGTACAGTTTTATTTAAGTTTGCATTTTGTTATGTTCTTGGTTGCGAGAACATTCTCCTAAATTTAGGCATCTACCTTCTTTTTTTAAGCATAGGTTTCCATTGACATAGTTCAAACCGTCTCCATGGGGAGAAAAAGAGATGAACATAGAAGAGCAAATAAAAGTAGTGATGTCTTTCGAGTATTTTTGGTTTTGACAGTGTAAATTTATAATTTTCTGTGTGCCCTCACCTTAGGCGTTGAAATTCTGTGTTCCGTTTTATTCTTCTTGTAATGTTCTCAGCAGTCCTTTTTCACATGGGCCCCACTTTTAATATTTTCTTTCCTCTGCAGTGGATAAATTAGTATTTCTAGAAGACCAAGATTGGAATGACTTTCTGCAACAAGTGTGCTCACAGATCGACTGCCCCGAGAAGAGCACAGGGGCCTCCCGAGCCAAGCTGAATCTCCTTTGCTACTTGTGCGTGGTGGCCGGGCACAGGGAGGTGGCCACCAGGCTCCTCCACTCACCCCTGGTACGTAGTTAAGTCGTGAAGTAAAGGCTCCTCCTATCACGGGCTTGCAGCTCTCCTTCTGCACATAACTCTTTTATTTCTGTAGAGATTAAAACAAGCGCTAAAATACTAATACGATTTAATTACAATGAAAAACAGTGACTCATCAAGATGATAGGTTTGCCAGAATTGTCCTCTGTTTAATGCTTAGATCTAAAAGCAGTTGAATCGACAGTGATTTTGAACCACTCCTTTGGGAACACTCAGCTTGCATTTTACGTTAATTTGTAGTAGTTGTAAGGTATTTTTCATCTGTGAAATCAGAAGACAGAGGTCTTTTCATCAACTGCTGGAGTGAGCTGCCCACGTGGAATAGGGGCTCTTTTTACTGGGTCTTCCTGGTAAATTCCAAGGCTTCCGATGTGACGCTGAACGGGGAACTGAGTCTCTAAGACTTTTCTTTTTCCTTCTTCCCCTGGAGATATTTCTTGGACCGTCTTGATTCATCGATGAAACCATGGGAATTTGGCAGATCTTTTGAAGTCATCCTCAGAAAGGAGTTACAGTGGTCTGGGGCCTTTTCCCTTGTGGGCCTTGGTTTGGGAACTGGCTTGAAAAAATTTAAGTTCATTTTCTTCCAGGATAGTATTACAGCTCCTTATTTGGTACTTGGTGTGTGTTTGTGGGGTGAGGGGCAGAGGCATATTTAGGGAATATAATTCAGTTGGAGAAACTGAACGTTCTTATTTTTAGTTTTTATTTTTATCTTATATTTACAAAGATGCAAAAACACTGAACGTAATTAATTTCCTTGGTGCAGGATTTGCATTTCATATGTATACTGGTTTGATTTGTTAACTTAGTGGTCACTTTCTGTGTCATTTCATGAATTAAATACATCTTAATTTTTTTTTCTAGTTCCAATTGCTAACCCAGCATTTGCGAATAGCTCCAAACTGGGATAGGTAAGTAATATTTACATCTTAATAAATTATTATATTATTAAGTAGTTAAAACATACATATTTATCGAAAGCACATAGTCCTAAATACTTATCACGAAATAGTCTAAAGTAATGATGACCCTGAATCATAGCACTTTCTGTAGGCATCCCAGTTGTCCATTTAAAAAGATTTCAAAATAGTCTTTATTGTAATATTATAAATATAATTCCAAGGTTATGTAAACTACATCTGGAAGCTTTATTAATGATTACTCTTTTGAATATTCTTTATCAAATACTTTACAATTATCCCTGTGTTTTAATTTAGTTATGCTTCTAAGGCGTTTTCCCTTGCCACTTTATCTTTCCTTAAGATGGTTTACAAAATCTTATGAGATTGTGTTCTGTAAACTCCTGATGGAAGGATGTGTACTTGCTTATATGAGGGCAGCATACTTGGTGAAAAGCTCATTAAAGTGTAAGAAGGCTCTGTGCTCTAGTTGCCAATGAGACTTGGTCAGATAATTGATTACCTCTTTCCGAGTCTCAGCTTCTGGGGGACTGTTTGTGGGATGATGAAAGTGCTTTGGATTCAGACAGATGTGGGTGTAGATCACAAATCTGCCCCCGGGCAAATTATTATAACTGCTGAGTGTCAGTTTACTCATCTGTAAAATGGGGATAGTGTATCAACTTCATAGATTTTTGGTAACAATCAAATTTTTTTTAACTGAAGTATAGTTGATTTACAATGTTCTTAGTTTCAGGTGTACAGCAAAGTGATTCAGTTTTATATATTCTTTACAATTAAATTTTGAATGAAGTAGGTGTATGAAATACCTTGCCCGGTGCCTGGTTCTTAGTGGGTACTTAGTGTATTTTGGGGGTTTGGAAGTTGGTGTTATCAATCCTACTTATCTTGTATTATTGTTGAGAAGCTTGTGAAAACTTGAATGTGAAGGGGTTTTGTAAAATGTGCCAGTGGTAGGATAGTAATTATTCTTCCATGCTGCCAAAATATAGGGGAAACAATAGGTGTTCACAAAACGCTTTTTTGGATAATTATTCCTACGCATCTTCTAATGTTACTCTCTCAAGGTAAAATCTGGCGTTACAAAATAGGATTTTTAGATCATTTTTGGGCATGTTAAACTTTGAGAAGGATTGTGGTATGCTCACTGTAAAAGAAACCAACAAAAAAATCCTAGCACTTCGGCTAAAACAAATTATATCCTTGAATAGGGTGCCCTCTGCTGATTTTTAAACAACAGACATTCTTAATCCTTTCCAGGTACTACTATTTTTTTCCATTTTTTAGATTTAAGTTTAATTGTAAAACAGTTTTTATTTGAGGAAAATATGGATAGATAAGCCCTATGCTTGGAGCCTCCTTTTAACTCTCTTTCTCCATTCTAATACTGCTTCTTCCGGCGAGGCCTTTTCTGTCCTGGGTCATATCACCTTGACAGCATATGATAAGGGTCTTTAACTTAGCCGGGGGACAATCACTGTTGAAGTATGTGTGTTTATTCCTTGGCTTTGTTCAGTATATAGAAAAACAAAATAAAATAACATGTAACTTTTTATGTTTCTCCACTTTATAACATGTATTCTTTTAATGTCACTAATTAATTTGTCTAAGTTTTTTTATGGTATGCCTCTTTTTATATGCTATGAATATTTGATCATTTTATTTACCCTTCCCTATTTTTGGATAGTATTATAATATTGTAAATAACATATTGATGAACATTTTGTGCTTAAATCTTCATGCCTATTTTTCCTTTCTCCCCTAAGGGCAGATTTGTAGAATTAGAACGAATAGGTAGAGGGCAATAGATATTTTTGTGACTTCTGATAAATTGCTGAAATGGTCTATAGAAACATGATATCAACGTGCATTCCCAGTCAATGTGTGTAAAAATGCTGTTTTGTTAGAACTTTTAACAGTGAATACTTATCAGATTTTATAGCCTTTGCCAGTCAACTTTATTGAGGTATAATTCACAGATAATGCATAATACTTTAATTTAAAAATTCTATTAATTATAAAATATACGTAACAAAATTTACCATTTTAGCCATTTTAAGTGTATAATTCAGTGGCATTATGTATATTGTGATACGTATGTTGGGCAACCACGATCACTGTCAATTTCCAGAACTTTTTCATTATTCCTAACAGAAGCTCTTCCCCATTAACCAGTAACTCCCATCCCTCCTCATCCCAGTCCCTGAAAACCTTTGTTATACTCTTTGTTTCTATGAATTTCCCTGTTGTAGATACCTAATATGAGTGGGATCATACATTTGTCCTTTTGTGTCTGGCTTATTTCACTTACCTGAATGTTTTCAGAGTTCATCTGTGTTGTAGCATGTATCAGACTCATTCTTTTTTAAGGCTGAATAATGTTCCATATATGTATATGCCACAGTTTATCTTTCCATTTGTTGATGGACACTTGGGTTGCTTCTACCTTTGGCTGTTGCAAGTAGTGCTGTTGTGAGCATTGGTGCACATATACCTGTTTGAGCCCCTGCTTTCAGTTCTTTTGTGTATATACCTAGGAGTGGAATTGCTGGGTTATTTGATAATGTTATGTTCAACTTCTTGAGATACCATCATAACTATTTTGCACAGTGGCTGCACCATTTTACATTTCCATCAGCAATGCTTGAGGGTTCCAATTTCGCCACATCCTCTTCAACCCTTATTTTTTTCAATTTTTTTTAATAGTAGCTCTCCTAATGGGTATGAAGTTATATGTCATTGCGGTTTTGATTTGCATTTCACTAATTACTGATGTTGAGCACCATTATTTACCTTCTCTGGAGAAATGTCTGTTCAGGTCCTTTGCCCATTTTCTAACTGGGTTTTGTGTTGTTTATTTATGGGAGTTCTATATGTATTCTAGATGTTAACGACATATTAGGTATATGACTGACAAATACTTTCTTCCATTCTGTGGGTTGCCTTTTTACCCTGATAGTGCCCTTTGCATAAAGTTTTAAGTTGTGATGAAACCTAGTTTTTCATTTTTTCTTTTGTTGCCTGTGCTTTTAGTGTTCTAAGAAATCACTGCAAAACCAATGTCAAAAATCTTTTCATTTGTTTTTTTCTAAGGGTTTTATAGTTTTAGCTCGCATTTAGGTTTTTGATCCATTTTGAGTTAGTTTTTTTTTTTTATACAGTGTTAGGTAAGAGTCCAGTTTCATTCTTTTGTTACGTTTATATCCAGTTTTCCCAGCACCATTTGTTGAAAAGGCTGTCCTCTCCCCATTAAACGGTATTGGCACTCTTGTTGATAATCATTTGACTGTATACGCTGAGGGTTTGTTTCTGGGCTCCCTGTTCTGTTCCCTTGGTTTATAAATCTGTCTTTATGTGAGTATCACAGTGTCTCGATTACCATAGCTTTGTAGTAAGTTTTGAAATCAGAATATGTGATTTCAACTTCGTTCGTTCTCAGGTTTATTTTAGGGTCCTTTGATATTTATATTCTAGGAAAGATTTTTCTAATTTTTAGTATAGTTTGGTACTTTAATAAAGTAAATGCTCATCGTCAATTTTTAAAATACAGTTTCTCCATTTGTGAATTACTTCACTTCTTGGTTGATGGGATTTCACTATTGTTTTTTAAATAGAATATCTCTCAGGCTCTGCTTCTGGAGTTCCTCCTTCCTTGAAGCTTTCTGCCTGTGGTTTGGGGGCTCAGGCATAGCAGGCTGAATGAGACCTTCTTGCACCTTCAGGCCACACTCACCTCTGTGCCATGCTGCTTTGTTGCTCACTCGTGTGCTGGCTGCAGCTCTGGAAGACTCAGGGGCCAACCTGACTTTTTCTTCCTCTTATATGTGACCAGTTTGATTTTGTTTTCCAGTGAAAAAAGAATTTTTCTTTATATTCCAGGCTTGCAAACTTTTACTAGAATGTATCTAGGTATCCCTTTTTACTAATTTGCATTGCCAGTCGGTCTGTTAAATGCTGCAACCTTTCTTTTGCTTTCCTACTTCCTTACGATTTCCTCATCTCTATTTCATCCTTTTTCTGCTCCTGAAACTCCTGTAAGATGGGTGTGGGATTTTGTGTGTCTCTCTTTTTTTTTTTTTGCTTGCCTATTTATTTATATTTTTGGCTGCGTTGGGTCTTTGTTGCTGTGTGCGGGCTTTCTCTAGTTGCGGCGAGTGGGGGCTACTCTTCGTTGTGGTGCATGGGCTTCTCATTGCAGTGGCTTCTCTTGTTGCAGAGCATGGGCTCTAGGCGCGCGGGCTTCAGTAGTTGTGGCACGTGGGCTCAGTAGTTGTGGCACGTGGGCTCAGTAGTTGTGGCACATGAGCTCTAAAGCGCAGGCTCAGTAGTTGTGGCACACGGGCTTTAGTTGCTTTGTGGCATGTGGAATCTTCCCGGACCAGGGCTCGAACCCGTGTCCCCTGCATTGGCAGGTGGATTCTTAACCATTGCGCCACCAGGGAAGCCCAAATTTAGGGTCTATTGACTTAATTTTCTTTTGCTTTCTCACTCTTTTATTGAGATACAATTCACATATCAAAAAATTCACATTTTCTTGGTTTTTGTTGAGTTTATTTTTTAGAGCAGTTTTAGGTTCACTGCAAATTAAGGGGAAGGAACAGAGTTTTCCCACATATCTCTGCCCCCACATATGCATCGCCTCTCCCAATTATCAATATCCCCTGCCAGAGTGGTACATCCTAAATTGACACATAAAAATCATCCAAAGTCTATACTTTACATTACAATCCTGTCTTAGTGTTGTACATTCTGTGGGTTTGGACAAATGTATGATGATGTGTATCCATCACTGTGGTATCATAGAGTATTTCCACTGCCCCCAAAATCTACTGTGTTCTGCCTATTCACCCCTCTGACAACCACTGAACTTTTTATTACCTTCATAGTTTCTCCTTTTCCAGAATGTCATGTAGTTGGAAATGTAAAGTATGTAGTTTTCTCAGATTGGCTTCTTTTACTTCGTAACATTCATTTAAGGTTTCTCCATGTCT